AAGGAATCAGGAGTGTTTTAGTTCCGTGTTTAGGTAATTTAGGAAAAGTAATGGGTAAAGATAAAGGTTTTCCCCTGACATAAAGTCCAATCGTGTCTGACCTTGGGGGTTGGATCTCACCTCCATTTCTAAGCCTAAGAACCGACGTTGTCCTTAGACACCTCAAAGGTCATATGACCAGCATGACTGCGTGAAGCGCTGTTACCTTCCCGCTGAAGCAGTGCCTATTGATCTACTCATATTTGCATGTTTTTGAACGGCTAGGTTAGCAGAAGCTGGGGCTAACAGTGGGAGCTCACGCCTCTCCCTGGATTCAAACCTGCAGCCTTTCAGTCAGCAAGTTCAGTGGCTCAACGCTTTAACCCACTGCGCCACTGGGGGCTCAGTCTTGCAATACTGTAAAAATTAATAGATGCACTGTGACACAAGATTTTGTGAATTAAAGTCAATTTCAGAAGGTGCATGAAATACTATTATCAGTTGCAAATAAATATATACATACTGAAATATATGTGTGTGCGCGCGTGTGGGGGTGAATTGTAAATAATTATTATTCAACCACAACACAGGCTTAAGTTTAATTCAGGAATTTAACATTGGACCCACTGTCTCACCTGCCTTGGTTCTAGGATGACCACTTTAAGAACATTATCTGGGTGACTTGATATGTTTAAATGATCTATTGGTTTCAGAATACAGTAGACTCTTGGCTAACAGTCAGTGATGTGGATTGGTAGGTGCAAGAAACATTTAGTTTTTCCTTCGTGGTGTCTGATGAAATGAGCACATGTGGTGGGTGATGCATCTGTGCAGCAATTAATGCAACCTTCTAAAAAGCTGTAGGCTTCTAATAAGCTGTAGGAAGGTGGGTGTGGCTATAACCCCACCCACCTTCCCCAGGAGGCATATGTGCTGTGGGAGGGGCTGTAGCCTCAGTTCCTTTTTTCCGCCACTCCTGCAGCAGCTTTAGGAACCCCTCTCTAGTTCTTCAACTTACTTATTGGACTGTTCTTCAAGTATATTGACTCGGATTTCCCTATGATTACTCTATTTCTCTGGCTCCTCCCGCCTGTGCGGTGCTCAGACCAAGACACATATCGGTCCCGCCGTTCTCCCTCTTGCCGATCCTTGGGCTCGAGGAGGGCCTGGCCGAGTCATGGGGTCCCAACAGCATCTGATTCTGATTCATCCATGGCCACACATGGGGCCCCAGAGCCTGTGGAGCCCACGCCAGTTGCGCCAGGGGATGATGCTACGGGCTTCTCATCCTTTGTGATCTGGCTGGTGAAGGCACTGAAATTGCCTACTCAAAAGGTTGAGGACCCCATGTTCCCACCAGATCAGCAGCAGCAGGTGGTCGCATCGACAGCTCTACCATCTCTCCATATCTGATCCAACCCAGATCAGGCACTTTCAGCAGTCCTGGCAGTCTCTAGGCATTGGGATGTGAGATACCGTATTGATTTCACATCAGCAGACTGGGTGGCAAGGCCACCTAAACCTGAAACGGTTGTGGTCAATGTAGCTAAGTGCAAGCAGTCGGATCAGTCTCACCCTACCTCACTTGATAAGAAGAGGAAGAAGTTAGAGGTGATGAGGGGCAAGACACATGCCAATGTAGGCCTTGTAGCCCGCATCGAGCATTATGGAGCCTACATGGCCTCCTACCATACTTACCTGTGGGGAAGATAGACCCTTACCTTGACCTTCTTCCTCCATACCAACAGGGGATGGCTAGAGTCTTATTTAATGAGGCCCTCCTCCTGGTGCAGGCCCAGAAGGATATGACTCAGTACATGGCTGATGCAGCTGGTAAGCTTTTATCAGTGGCAACCTGTATTTGCAGGCAAGCTTGGTTTTGCACCTTCACCCTATCGGAGGAAGGCAAGCTTCTGGCGGAGAACCTCCCAGCCCATGACTATGGCCTTTTTCATCTTGACACAGATACTAATCTCAAACATACACAAGAGATGCGCCAGACCACCATCACAGACCACTTCAAAATACACCTGCAGACCTTACCAGCCCTCATCTCGCATCTGCACCCAGCCAAGGTCTTCATGATCTCTAAGGCAGCAGACCCAGCCTAAGGCACACCAGTAGAGTAAGGGCAAGTGCCCTGCCAAGCCAAAACACTGCTTTTAGCAATGCTCATGGGTGTTCCCTTCACCTCTTCACAGTCTTTCCTCACCCCAGCCTGGTCATGGGAATGTCATACCATCCTCTCAGCCACAAGTTCACTTTGGTGATCACCTGGCTGGCTTCTTCGCCACCTGGGAGGTTATAACAACAGATAGGTGGGTTCTTGAGGTCGTGCACCATGTTTACGCCATCAAAATCAAGAGGCAGGGTACTTGCCCTTACCATCAGAACCATATCACCCTCCACCGTGCTGTGGGATGAGATCTGTACCCTCTTCCAGAAGGGGACTATTGTGCAACTACACCCTTCTGATTTCCCATTGGCGTTCTTTTCCTGTAATTTTTTGGTGCCCAAGAAGGATGGAGGCCAGTGTTCGATCCTGCATCTTCGGGGCCTTAATCATTACATCCAGCCACGTAGGTTCAGGATGGACTATCATCCCTCTGCACCTGCGGCGAGTGTGGTTTGCTACTCTGGATTTGCATAATGCCTATTTCCATACAGCCATCTCGCCACACTACCATAAGTACCTCTCCTTTAATATTGGGCACCACGCATTTTCCTTTTTGGTCCTTGCTTTTGGGATATCCATGGCACCTTGTGTCTTTACGAAGTGCATGGCCACGGTGGTGGCTCAGGCTACAGGGTATCATGGTGTTTCCTTATATTGATGATTGGCAAACTCATGAGTGCAACTTTTGGACCATATATGCTTCATCCTATCTCTTCTTCAGGAACTAGGCCTTGTGGTCAATCTTAAAAAATCACACCTGAAACCGATATTCACTTCATCTGTGCTCAGATCAGCTCCATCACGTAGAAGGCGTACCTCCCTGAGGACCGCTTCTGCAATCTATGGTTGGCAGTGCAGCACTTCCTCCACTTGCCATCGGTGTCGGTCAGACATATCCAGTCCACCCCCAGGCACATGGCATCAACAACGGTTGTAACACTGTTTGCTCACCTCCATTTCTGTCCACTCTGGACATGGTTTCTGAGGGTCCTCAACCCCCTCCAGCACAGCCAGTGCCGGCTGCTGGTGACCACAAGCTCAGTATGCCACTCCTTACATTGGTAGACAGAGGCACAACGTATGCATCAGCATGCCATTCCAACCCCCAGAGCCCTCAAGAGTCCTCACAACTGACACCTCCCTTCCGGACTGGGAAGTGTACTCAGGCTCACTGGCAATACGGGGACTGTGGTCCGCACCCAAGACCAAGCTCCACATCAACATCTCTGCAAGCCTTTGAGCACTCCCTCCATGGCCACATCGGTCAGGTCTGTATGGATAGCACGACGGCCATATGGTATATACACAAGCAGGGGGGCACCCAATCTCAGTCACTTATCTATCTAACTCTTGCCATCCGGGACTGGTGCATCCCCGGGGGATAGGGCTGTTTGCGATACACCTGCCAGGCCAGGACGACACGGTGGCACACCACCTCAGCCGCACATGCCTCACGGATCACGAATGGTCCCCTCACTCTCAGACGCTGCTCGCCTGTTCCAATGATGGGGGCAGCCGACCACCAACTTTTTTGCAGCACCGAACAACACCAAGTGTGCCCACTATTGTGCCAGACAGCTGAGACACACACCACAGGGTTCAGTTAACTGAGAGTCCTTTACTTTCTGGTACTAAATTTCTGTGTATTTATTTTGTACTAAAAGGATCGACTTCTGTGTTACATGTAGAAAGTACAGGTCAGTTCTGAAATTTAATAGCATAGTCCACTGAACTACCTTTCCTAAACTAGAAATCTCTAGATAGTTTGGACTACAATTACTCTCATCCTCAGCCACCATTGCCAGTGGGCAAAAAGGATATGAGAAATAATCCAAAACATTTGATAGGTGTAGGGTAAGGTTATTCTAATCATGTTGTGGTCCAGTAGTAATCTTGCCTGGGTAGATATCTGAAGAAATTAGCATCTGGTTCTTATATTTGTATTTTCAAATGTATTATTTTGTTGCTGTGAGTTTAGTGTAAGGTTAGAAATTGTCTAAGTGGGGAATAGTTTGTCAAACAAATAGGTAGTTTTTCTTTCTTCTTCCACTGCTGAACTTAAGTCTGGTCCACACCTATCCCTTCTCAAACTTCTGCCTGGATTCACAGGTTAGATATGTAGTTCTAACAAAACATGCTTTAAAATTATATTTGAGATTAGTTGAAGATGGCATATTATATATGGGGAAGTTTATCCAATGTTCCCTAAATGGTATTAATAATTTTGTTAAAATTTAAGTGGCAATAACAAGGAATGTTAATATCTGTAGTCCTTTTTTGCATACTGTTCCATTAAAAATTGGGCCAAACTCAGCAGTGTTCCCTGAAAAGTTGAAGCTTGTATATTAATTCCAAACTTGCATGAACATATTCAGAATGTTGACCTAAATGGAAATGTCAAGTTTGGTCAGTAATGAATAGTTCATGTTAGAATGAAAAATATAAAAATCCAAAGTGTTTATTTGGGAAATAGATAAAACAGTTGACAGATTGGATCTAAAACCTTACTACAATCTTTATTTTGGTCTCATTAGATTACAGGCCAACTTTGATGACTCTTTGCATAGTGCAGCAGATAAAATCTGTGGATTTGTATAGAATATCTTTGTTATCTGAGTACAATTTAATTAATCAGAAATGACAAAGTGGTGGTGATTTGCAAGGCTCTAAGATAGCATGGAGAGAGGTATTGACTAGAATTACCTCTTGCTGACCAGCAATTTATGGATACTTTATAGTTGGTATGTGTATTATCAGAATGTATTCGATCAGATTATTTTACTTATATCGATGTAAGAAGTATAAAATAATTTGTAATACTAATGTAAGTTCTTGCTAATTCTAGTTAAATGGCGGGAAAGCAGTATCTGGAGAAAATAACTTTACAGACACAATGAGGCATCTGTTGTCATCACAACTGAATATTTCAGACTGCCCCAACTGCAATTACAGGCACAGGTGCGTAGATGTTGTATCAGTTAAATGTTTTTTATGATTTCATAAGAAAATGTTAACTTTTTAACTTTGAATAATAAGGGCATTAAATAGTATAAAACATGAACCACAACTCAGTGAGATCTGTGCATATTACTTTATGTTTAACCATTGTTAACCACAGTGTCTGTGAACACTGTGAATCACATAAATGGCTTTGTGCCTGTGCATTACCCTTTCGCTTAATATTACTCATTTAAATTCTTATGTCTCTTTTATTATGTGTGCTCTGGCATACTCGACCATTATCCTTAGTTCCTTTTTGTCTACCCTGTGAGCAGGAATGTTTGAGATGTTATTTGATAGTTAGATTAAGTACCTTTGCACCCTATTACTTTGCTACCTTATAGCCTCTAATGCAGTGCTTAACCTGTGGGTCCCCAGATGTTTTGGCCTTCAACTCCCAGAAATCCTAATAGGTGGTAAACTGGCTGGGATTTCTGGGAGTTGTAGGCCAAAACACATGGGGACCCACAGGTTGAGAAACACTGCTCTAATGCCATGTTCTGTTTTGTTTTGGGTTTTTTTTTGTGGAAGATAAAATCCTCCATTTAGATATCCATCCCAAGTGATTTTTCCCTCTAGGGACACACAATTCTGGTGTTACCTGTAAAGGATTTACCAAGCGATCTTACCCAGGAAATCCATGTTGAAGTTGGCAGTTTTTCTGGCTATAAATAGGCCTCTTGTTACCACTTTTAAATGCATTTGCATAAATTTTTCACTTTTGAGTAAATTGGATAGATTTGTTGCTGTTCAACCTCCCAAATTCTTCCCAGCTGGGATTTCTTTTCTTTTTAAAGATAAATGCCCTTGGGTTACACATGTGGCAAATAAATAAATAAATGTGTGTAACTGGTACCAGGTCATATTAATTTTTTACTTCTTCAACAGTGGGTTTTCTGTTGTTTCCTTCAGGATCTCCTTAGCTACCCCATTCCTTAGTGAGGCTATGTCTATTTCTGAAACTCATATTGCAGTCCCAGCACTAGCAGACATTACTAGCCAGAGGGACAGAGAGATCTGTAGAATATGTGTCCTCCAGGAAGTCTGTTATCCTTACGATGGACAGCTCGGAAAGTATCCATAACAACAGGGACAAATGCTCATGAAGGACCTCTGATGAGACTAGAGGTCCATTCTGTTTCCAGGTGCTTCCAATTAATTTCTAATAGAACTGAATCAGGGACTGCATATCCAATGGCTTTATAAGAAATATGTGGTGCTAATAACAAACATCATGCTATTTTAATATCATGAACAGATGTACTTGTGATGACTGCAGTCTTTCTCATATTCTGATGTGTGGAATCATGGACTCACCAGTTACGGAGGACATTCATAATAATCATCTGCCACTGCAAATTGATTCTGCTCCAGATTGTCTAGCTGAAAGCCACCTATCTAGTATGTCAACAGGAAGCTCAGGATCCAGTTCCGGTTCTCCTTTCACTGTTCAGCAGAGAGAGAAACTAAAACCAATTCTAAATGAGAACAGCTCTGGACCAAGTTTGTAAGTCTTAGTGTTCTTTTGATCAAAGCAAAATATCAACAATTGGAACAAGTCTCTAAAGAGTATTACAAAAGGTATGTGGTCTATTCTGGTGTATGGTATTCAGTAATAATCACAGTGACGAATGTATTCCTCAGCAACGTTACTTATGCATTAGCTGAAACATTCTGGTCTCACTACATACTGGGAACAATCTTTCACTGCCTGGAATCTGCAACTGACTCAAGGCAAAGCACACATACACAATACGCACCAGAATATACCATTAAGCCTTCTTAAAAAGGAAGGGACTTGGGCAGTAGTTTAACTACTGTACTTCATAGCATAACCTTTCAATGCCATTGTAGTTAAACTGTAGTGTGATATCCTTTTAAATAGAAAATCTGGATATGTCCTTAATATCCATCTTTGAATATAGACTTGTGCCTAAAAGCTTAACCTAGAGTTGATGGAAGTTTATTTTAACAAATTCAGTTGAAATTACTCTACATACTCATGTATAAATCTTAAAATTGTAGTGGAAAACTCAACTCAAAAAACTTGGGTCAACTTATCCATGAATCATTGTGATTACTATTCCTTAGTTCTTATAAAAAAAGGTTTGGTCTCTTCTCTGAGTACAATGGCAAAAAGGCAAGAGCTTAGTCTTTCCTGTGAGAACCTAAAATAAGTTCCACCCCCCTCTACTCTGTCTGCCGTGGGGCAACTTCTGACCTTTTGAAATGGAAGGCCAAGGAAATGGTGCTTGCGGCCATAGAATAACCCCTCGACTTTTCCATCTTGGTCCCCAAACTTGTCCTCGACTTATACGTGGGGTCGACTTATCCATGAGTATATATGGTATACTTTTTTTAAAAAAAAAAAATCAACTCCTGATTTCTAGATGGAATATTCTCAAGATTCTTAGTGATGATTGTACATTTTAATTCCATTTCAGAATTTTCTACTATGTGGCTTACTGTACTTGTTAAATAAATAAGGCCTTTTTCTTCACAGTAATACAGAAAATGAAGATATTGAACCAGCATCAGAAAAACATGAAAATCTTTACTCCTGTAATCACTGTGATATTGCTAACATAGACAGTGCCAGTGGAATCCATAGACAGTTAAACGAGAGTATCAAGAGCACAACATTAAAACTGAAGGTAGTATTGTTTTGAAATACGTTTCTTGAATTTATTATATCAAATGAGTAGAATGCAATTATTTTTGTTTTTAACTATTTATCAGTCTCCCCAGGGTAGCAGCACTAGTAGCACTTCATCAGAAGGAGAAGGCGAGAAACCCAATGCAAAGAATAGTAGTCATCTGCCAAGAATTCAAAAAGGCGATTTAATGGTTGGAAGTAAAGTGATAAGAAAGGATGGCAGCAAAAGGAACAGTCCTGTGCCATCATACCCCACTCAACAGGTACAAATTGTTCATACTGTACATGAACTATGAAGTAAAATTCTTCTATTTACATTTGTAAAGAACAATGTTTTCTTCCAGGTTTTGATCTCATCATTGTTTCCAAACCTCAAATTTTACCTGCCTGTCACTTTTGTCCTTTTGAGGACTTTGTACAATTATTTGCAATACTGCCATTTTATAATTAAAGTGAGTTTTGGGAATAGTTCATATTTATAACCTTTATCTAATAATTCTCAACGTGTACAGTTCTTCGCTTGACCTGAATTTATAAACTGTGTATCACATTGGGGATCTGCCCCCTGCAAGGTAACAGAAAATCTTCTACAACTATTAATTAGTAAAAGCAAAGAGCCTCCATCTTTGAAGGGGTACTTACTCTGTAATTTCTTCCTTGTTTCCTATTTGCCAAGACATGTCACTTCAGTGTGGAATCCACCTTTCCCCCCACTATCCTGTAAGTGAAAAGTGTCCATATCCTAGATACCTCTGTCCTATCTTGACTACTGCAACCTTCTATCTACACATTCAAATCTCCAACTATATCTCCCCAAACCTAGTGATTTGCACCTTTCCATATACAAACTGCATACCTTGCCCACCATATATGTACCAGCCCTTTCAATTCCTATTTTTTTGCTGTTCGCTTTCATCAAGTTGAAGTTGACTTATGAGGAGTCTATGAATGAAAGACTTCCAAGTCACTATATCATAAACAATCCTGCTCAGCTCTTCCTGACTCAGGCCCATGGCTCCTTTGATGAGGAGGTGTAAAAATAGAATACCCAACAATTTAAGATATGCAAATGATACCACAGTAGTAGCAGAAAATAGTAAAAAATGTGGAGGAAAGTGCAAAAAAAAAAAAAAGAAATAGGAAAACAAAGAATGGCTACAAATGATGTGCATACTTCCAAGTATAAAACATTAGTTAAATAATTTCTGTATTATGCTGAAATAAAAATGGGGACTATCGCCAAGAAATGGAGACTATAGTAAAGGGTTTGGAAGGGCAACTGTTAAGCAACTCCGTTTTCCTCAAGTGTCAAGATACATCACGGATTTAATCAAAAGAAAAATAAATGTGTTTGGGGGAAAATCAAGATGAATTATTTCTAGGAACCAAAATAACTAAATTGAAGCTATCATACTTGGGATGTATTATGAGGTGAGATGACTCATTGGAAAAGAAATTAACGCTTGTTAAGTTGATAGGTAGTAATTAAAACAAAGACTTGTCTGTAGCTTATATACTGTATAGATGTGTGTGTGTGTGTGTGTGTGTGTGTGTGTATAGTATCTATCTCGCCCATCTTCCTATCTGGTTAAGATTGGAAATTCTTTTTCATGTCTGACAGGCTAATCAAGTTCCAACGTGTTGTGAGTGCCATATCTGCAAACAGGAAACAATAGGCCTGTCTTCTTCAGACACTGAACAAAAATGTCTTCCTGCTGGGCATCAGTTTAAGATTCCGGAAAAGTCTGTCCACCCTGGTCTTCATCTTTATCCTCACATTCATGGACAAATACCACTTCCTACTGTTCCTCATTTATCTCCTACACTCCATACTTCCTTTTATACTTCTCAACCATTGGCACAGAATAAGGTAATAGTTTCATATAAGCTATTCTCGTTTTTACAGGAAATGGCCTGTATGACTTCATTTGATTCAGAAAAGGTAATCATAGAGTGTTACCATTAAAAATAGGCCTAACTAATAACATTATGTAACAAAATTTGAAAAAAATCTCTTCCTAGTTTGAAATTGTTTAATTGTGTGGTACTTACGTTGAAAGTAGTTGTTATACTACAGAAACTTCACTTTTATAGCTGCCACAAACTATTGAGTTAGTTGAGACTCCATCAGATATTCATTGAAAAACTATAACAAAATGTGCTGCAGGATGTTCTGGAAAAAAAAACAAACAAAGATTTTTGCAGTTTAATAAATCTTTTCCATTCTTTATGGTAGAGCCATTTAGTACTGATTTGTACAGTACGTAGGAGTATTTACATTTCAATTGTAACATTTTATAGTTTTACAAAAATCAGTTACTTGAGCATTTTTAACTTTAGAACTGTGGTTTTCTAAAATAAAGTGTTAAAAGGGCAAAGAATTAAACTTTTATTAATAATAAGGTATTATTAGTGTATTATTCAAGAGTGTAATGTACTTTTTCCTCGGAAAAAGGTAATGTACATTTGCCTTTTTTCGTGCAAATATTATTTAGGCCTTCTTGAACATATATACAAAAATGAAGGGATCCCCCACTTTAATAAATGTGGTGTGAAAACTCATTGTAGCAACATACTGATTGCAGAATATGAAACCACATTAGAAAGGCCTTGCCCCACATAAATCCTTCCTTTCAATAATACATTGCAACAACCCATTACAAACATAGCTTATAAATATTATTTTTTGAAATTACAACTCTCAAAATCACCCATGTAGAATGGCTTTTGTACAGTTATCAACTCAGTATCATGGTGATTTGTACAGTACGTAGGAGTATTTACATTTCAATTGCAGCATTCTGTCTCACTAGGAATAATAATTTGGGGGTATATGGAAACAAAGTTCTAATTAAAAAATCTTGATGTGTAGGCTCTTCTGCAGAATCATACCAATAATCAGCCAATACTGAATACATCATTCCAAGATCATATGTACTCAAATGGTTTTGGGAGTACTACAGACTGGAAGAGTTCTGAATTTCTAAGCATTTGGGAATCAGAAGTCATGAATGAGAAGAACTGGTATGCTTCCAACTTTTTGCAAGATGAACTTCCTGGTGAGGGTATAATTCTGTTTCATTCTAAAAAATGGCAATGATGTTCTGGATACTGTAATAAATCACATTGTTCTTGAGAGAGTTAGTTACAATGATTCCTTTGTATCATTATAGTGTGCACATAAGAGGAGTCAAATCTATTTGACTTGGTTTAAGATATTTACAGTTACACTTGTCAGGATGTGGGTTTCAGTGGATAAATACAGACTTTATCAGCAAATACAAATTGTATAAAAAAAGTTAGCTGTGTCCTCTCCACTACCTTTTATTCCTTCTGTGTCATAGGAACACCATTAGTATTGTACTCATTGCTGTCACATTCCAGATTTCTCAGTTACAGGAAGAGTTGCTCAGAATACAGATCTTTATTTAGAAGTGGCTCATTTCTATGCCATACTCAGTAAAATAATGGCTCTAGGGTAACATGTCTACAGATTTTTTATCATGTCAGAAGTGACTTGAGAAACTGCAAGTTGCTTCAGATGTGAGAGAATTGGCTGTCTGCAGGGACGTTGCCCAGACGACGCCTGGATGTTTTACCATCCTGTGGGAGGCTTGTTTCATGTTCCCACATGGGAAGTTGGAGCTGAGAGATGGTCTCGCAGACCACCGACCTGCAGGTCAGCAGTCTAGCCGGCACAGGGATATAACCCATTGCGCCACCACAGCTACATGTCTCCAGTGTCAGAAATATATACCCAGTGGGCAGTGCTGAAAAGCAGAAATGAGAAAGATTAAAAGAACTCTGAGAGAATAATCCTTAAAACCTTTCTGTGTTCATCTCAGTTTTTTTGGTGCGAATTTAGTTCTTCCTTGTCTCTATGAACTTTCCTCAGTTCTTTTTTATTTCCATCCCAGCAGCACTTTAGAGCTTTATTACTTTCATGGTTGAGATTTTTTACCTTCAGTGCTGTTAACTTTAAATTTTCATATTTAACGAAAAGAATAATAGCAAAGAATGGCTATAAATATATATTTCCTTCCTAGTAAAATATTTTTCTGTTCTTCCTTCTATCATAATAGTTATTATTTAAAAGTTTCATGCAAAAAACCTCTGGCAAATAAATATTACATTTCAAAGCCTTCTGTAAACAACATTTTCCCTCTTTTAAAAAAAAATAGAAATGGTTTTCTAAGTTATTTTCTGTTTTTTTCTGTGTTCATTATGATTAGATTTTCTGTATTATTGACTCCATCTATTTCTATCTGATTTTGATTCTGTCTTGGCAGTTTTAAGAATGCAGTGTATATTATGACATCATTTCTCAAGTTTTGAAACTATAATTTGAAAACTTGTGAAAATAATATTTGTGCAAATAATATAAATTCAAAATGAATTTCCCTAATCTTAAGTACTTTTGTTACAGCAAGTTTACCATTCAAGTGTGAACTGTTTAATAAAGAAAGTTTACCTCTGGCCACATCATACAAGGTTTTAATTTAAAGGAGCTTGCACCAGCTCAGAGCATGCTACATTATTTAGCTAGCTTATATTTTTCTTCCATTTGAAGGGAATGATATGGTAGCATCATCTGCCGCAGAACCAAATCCTAACATACTTCCTGTAACAACTGGAAATGAAGGAATGGCAGTGACTGATAGCAAGAAGAAGGAAAATACATTAAAGAAAAAATGTCTGTATCACTTTCAAGATGCTTTTATGCACAATAACAAGGTAGTTATGGCAACATCTTCAGCAACATCTTCAGTCTCGTGCACTGCTACTACAGTACAATCGAGCAACAACCAGTTTAAAGTTTCATCTAAAAGATCATCATCACTAGGTAATGATTTATTCAGTGCCCCGTTATGCTAGTTTTTTTAGCTAACAAAAGTTCTCAAAGCAGTTTTCATAACATTTCAATTTAGAGCATATGTTTCCAAAGATAGCAATATTTGTTGCTGTATTTCCCACTTCTTCTTCACAGTATTCTGGCATAGATATTGCATGCATGTGGTTCAATATAGAATTCAAATATAAAAAGATTTAATGCAGTAAGTCCACACAGCCAAAGAACATAACCTGACAGAAAGCAAAACATGATCCATATTGTGTTGTTTCTGTTAAGGTGATTACGAATTTAAGGCATGCTGTTATCTAGTCACACTGTTTCAGGAGGCCATATTTCTGCAAGGGACAGTGCTTTCAAAAGTTCATCAGGGCATGCTAACTTTAGCTTTTTTTCAACTCGAAAGCTGAAATAATCAGGATTAGAGTATCTCTGTTATATGCAATTGAAAACAAGTTCCATCTTTTCTGTTGTAGGCTGTATCTTTTGGTCTTTGGTTCAAATTCTGTTAAAAATTACAAAGGTTATTCATAGTAGTCTACTGTTCAGATACTCTGACCCTCCAGATGTTGTTGAACTGCAGCTCCCATCATTCCTGTGCTAGCGAGCACCATTAGATGTTGTGGTTCCACTTCTCACCTAGAGAAGGGCCTGAGGACGACCTTACTGGCCTCTCAGGTTTGTGGAATAAAAGACCTCTCTTTATCAAAGGAAGGTAGGGCAGATTGTGCCACAAGTATCATCATCTTGAAAATCCAATGCACAAAAAACAAATGTATTCCAGCAACACAAAGAAACCAATCCAGGCTGAAATGCTCTCTTCTTTTTGCTGTGATCTGCAGTCTTTTTGATTCATCAGTTTAAAAAAGGACATTGTTTCTTTCTTTGCCTCCTCTTTCAACTTACTCTTATTCTCAATATTCATGTTCTGGCTCAGCTAAAATATGTGTCACCCTTCTAATCACCAGTTGTGGCTTTCTCCTTCATCAGATGTATACATTTATGCTATCCTACTATTGAACTTCTTAAGAAACAAGCATGCTAATTTCTTTATTTTTAAAAAAATTTCACTGTAACTTGTAACACATCAAGCCAATGTAAAGTAATTACAACAAATTGATCAATAGAAAAATGAAACAATATGATGTCTCCTACTATCTTCCTACTCTTTTCTTAGGTATGCTTTTTATGGATTTTGGCATGACTTTGTAAATTGATGACAAGTATGTGTACATCTCTGACCTAGACACTTAATTGAAACATACTAAGATTTAAAAAAATAGGGAGGTAAAATTTTCCCTTTAGATTTTAGAATGACACTTACATCAAGACATCTTGATTTTAACCTGAGTAACTTTCCTTTCTCGCCTTAGGTGATGTGTTCCATAGCATCAGTTCAGAGGATCATAGATGTTCTGCATCAGCTGCACCACAAAACAGTCCCACTACTTTAGCACAGCTGTCTTCTCTTTCCCCCGGGGTGCTTTCTCCAACTTCAGCCCCTCATCTCCCAGGATCCGGTATTCCAGCATTCTCCAGAACTATTACCACTCCGCCCAGCTTTGTGGACACAAATTTGGGCCTTTATCCAACCACCATGGCATCTCCTTCAACCAAAGAGAGCTTGGTTAGTACTGCATCAAGTGTTTGCAGGTGAGATTTTGTTGTTTCTCATTACTATTTCTCATTGTTATATACTTTGAGTCATTTTGACTTAAGATGTGAGTAAAGGTTAACTTTGAAATTTAGTATGTCTTATCTTACATGTTAAGGCTTTGTTAAAAATATGTGCCCTCTTTTTATTATCTCACTGATGGTGTTTTTCACTTCAGTATATCTGAATTTTCTCCTGATCTAACACACACTTTTTGTTTATTTGAAGCATGCTGTGTGGTCTTCTGAAAGCCTGTTAAACTAACCAACTCTAGACTTTTTTGTCTATCTGTCATACTATTGGCTGTTTACACATTTTAATTGTTTATTTAGGTAGAATATTACTCTACTCACTTTTAGGCAAAGCTCGTGGGAAAGCATATCATAAATCTGAAAACAGCAGATCATCAGTTGCAAAGCATATAGTTGCTTGGCCCACTTCGGACAGTCTTTATAAATCAAAAGAAAGAAAAGGAATGTTCCTATTTTAGACTGATGTTAACCTTGTTTGTAATTTATAAATATCAGGTAATAATCCTGTATGCTATACTACTATTATATTTTACAAATATAAAAAAAATGGATTCAATCTAAGTCAAAAACATATTACTCATTTCATTTTCTTGTACAGAAAGAACAATTTAGAAATAAAATTATCAACTTTTAGAAGTATGGTTCTACTTCAAAAACCATTGTTGGATGAATAAATATGAACTTTTAAAAAGAAACACACAATACAGTGGGCCCACCATATCTGCAGGGGTTTGGTTCCAGGACTTCATGGAGATATGAAAAAATGTGGATGATAATGTTTCATATTATTAAACAGCAGAAATGGGAACACATCCTTCAGAGTGTCAGTATTCACATCACCACCATTGAATACTATGAGACATGATGATGTGCAATAGGTTGAAATCATAGATTCTTTGCTCACAAATACCGTAGGCCCACTGTATTCCTTCTTCCCTCAACTTTTCCTTTTTTCTTTCTCTTTGCTTATTTTGCCTTCAGATATTCTCCTTTTCTCTAAGAAGAGAGGAAGAGAGAATTTCTGAAGACAAAATAAATGAAAAGTAGTAGTCGGTAACAAAAAAACCATGAAATATTGCCTCAGCTTTTTATTATATTTTTTTATTATACTCCTTGAAATTATACACTATGTAATACAATTTTGTTCCTGGGTTATAAATGTCATTTTCTAATTGATTTTATCATAAAAACATGGAAAAGGTTTATTAAACTGCAAAAACTTGGTTTTTGTGGGAGGGACGTCCTGCAACACATTTTGTTAATCTTTTCAATAAATATCTCAAGAGTCTCAACCAATTCAACATAGTTTGTGGCAGCCACAAAGACAAAGTTTCTAGAATATAACAACTACTTTCGAAGTAAGTACCACACTTTCAACACTTTCAAACCAGGAACATTTTTTTCATTTTTTTTTCGGTAGTGATTGATGCTATTAATGTTTTATATCCCAAATTTCTGCATATCTTTTTTGAAAATAAATCCTTGCAACTTCATAAGAGATTATATACTTTCAAATAGACATGTGTGATCAAACCATTAAGACAACAGAAAAAAATGAAAACCTTTATAGTTGAAGTATTAAATTATCTGATCGCACTGGTCAGTGAAAACAATGGAAGTGTCAAGTAAAGTAAGTGTCATGCTTTGCTGGCCTTGCAGTGGGGAGTCCTTATTTCTTCTAGATTTCTGTCAGCATTTGTATAGCTTGTTCCTAGCTCTGTTAGAAGAGATAGTGGTTTTTCTCTTGTTTTATCTCCATCTCCATGCACTGTCTTTTATAGAATCGATAATAGATGGGGATGGAATCAGCTGTTTTTCATCTGGTATCTTAATCCTTTAAAAACTCCTTTAAATTCTGTCTTTCTTGTTATCTTAGTTTCTTAGTCAGTGTTTCAAAACTCACTGATGTCACACCATCTTCATATTGAAATCAGTTACTTTTATGCCACAGCTGTATCTGTGTTAACACATTAAAATAATAAAGAATCACAAAATACACTTCTGCGTCATTTCTGCAGCAGAAAGCCTACCTCACCAGCTGTGTAGTGTGCTGGCTTCATTTGATCTTTCCTCCGTGCTTTCTAGAAGAGATCAAAAATGTGTTTTCTGCTTTAATGTAGTGACCCTGACTGTGAAGGCCAGCATTGTGAACACAGTGATCTATATGATCACCCACAGTATGATGGTGAGGAGAGCCAAGATGAAGACAGCTGTTCAGAACACAGCTCAAGCACCTCAACATCTACAAACCAAAAAGAAGGAAAATACTGTGATTGTTGCTATTGCGAATTCTTCGGACATGGAGGAGTAAGTAGTTTTTTGGTAGTTTTATATTCTATTGGATTGTGTTTGCAAAACATATTCAGTGAACTAGAGCTACCGCACTTAATTCATTAATTTTCTTGGATGCACCTGATGTCATCAAGAGGCTAGACATGAAACTTGGTTTCTTTCTCAGCTCTTGATATGACAGTTTTTAAATGCCACAGATCTGTCACATCAAGGGCTGAGAAAGAACCCAGTTTCCACAAGAGTGTTCAGTGGAAACTTTGGAGCAGATCTGAGAGGCACTTGATTTAAACCAATTAGTTGTCCTCACAAATGTATATAAGATTTGTGTTCTTATATTTAAAGTAGGCTTTCACCTTCACGACTACATGTTTGTGTGGGCCACAAATTAGGTGGGAGGCAGCAATCCTCTCCTCTAAAGTCTGGTGGGAAAGATAGAAAGGAAGAATTTGCTTCAAATGATAGTTGGGTCAGGGGCAATTTCTGTAGCACTGGAGAAAACAGGGTGGGTTTGGCAGTTTGGACGTGGGTGGCTAAGGTATTCCAACTACCAAATTTATCCCCGTCCTTGCACCCAGACACGAGCTGCAGAGGTGCTAGGATCACTGAACAACAGCTTCTGCTTCAAAACTGGGAGGAAGACTCATTGCTCTTATATTATTATTTTTCCTCGAAAGCCATACCCCCTCCCGTGCCCACTACAGAAAGCATCACTGTTTCCATAATTAATATGTCTGAATCCTTGGGAATCAGGGTCTGTAGTGCAGAGATGCATAAAAGATATTTTGCTCAGTATTCTTTAATATCTTACCCCCTCCCCCAAAATTCCAGGATTGTAACCAGTGTAATCATGGAAATTAAAGTGAAATCATAGTGCTTTATTTGTGTAGTGTAAAAGGGTCCTCTTGTGCTTACTAAGAACAGCCTGCATGTAGCCCACGGCTCCTGCTTCACCTCACCATTTTATTTCGAGGAATTGAGTTGTGTGCCATATTCTGATCCAGCCCTTTCTTGTAGGCATCCTTGAATTTCTACAATTTTTAGCTTTATATGAGTGCTTTATTAGGAAAGAGTGTATTTCGAAAACAAAATCACATAGATATTCACTGTATTTTTAGCAGAAATAACTAAATTAAATTGGAATTTTGTCTCTTTTGATTGTCTTTCTCATTACAGTTTTTTGTTTTATTAGCTTATTTGAATGTATGATGTTGTCTTAGACCTGTTATAGAATATTTTTGAATTTGAATGTTATTTTTGAAATGACATGGAATTTTGGAGTTCTATTTAATGCTATTTCTTTTTAATTAAAAAAAAATATCCAACAGCCACCAGCAGCACCAACTAGTAGAAACTATGCTGAAATGAGAGAAAAACTCCGTTTGCGTTTAACAAAAAGGAAAGAGGGACAACCTAGAAAACCAGAGCTGATTTCAGATAGAGATGGTGTTGTTGATCATCGAAAAGTAGAGGACTTGCTACAGTTTATAAACAGCCCTGAGACTAAGCCGGTTAGCAGCACGCGGACAGCAAAAAGAGCAAGGCATAAGCAAAAAAAGGTAAGTTTAAACCTGCATTAGAAAAATGTATGCAATGTCAAAAGTCAATGAGCAATTAAAGACGTTGTTATATTCTAATTACAATGCACTTTTTAATTGAATTGTTTTTCCTCATTAAAAATGTAGAAATGTTCATGGTGCAGTGTAAATCCTCCTTTTAAGGACATTTTTGGGAGTCTGCCTTCAACTCTTTTGAAAAAAAAAATGGATTAATGAGCAGGATTTGAAATGATTATGTACTGTCTTCTGACTTTTAGTGATGTTATATTGAAGTGTTTCCATTTTAATATTAAATTGTTTCAGATTCCTTTTGTAGGGTGATGGGGTCAAAATGTTTATATTTGATCAATCAATTAAATGACTTTGTTGGTCTCTGAAATTAAAAAGCAACACCTGTAATAGCCTGTAAAAACACAGAGCAAATGCCTGTAATAACACAATGGGATGCTTTGAATAACAACAAGGTCAGTTAGAGGAGAATGGTTAAATAGGATATGGGCTATAGCGCTATCGGAAAAGTCAACCAATAAGTCAAGATTAGCAAAAAGAGAAATAAAAGAAGACTTATTTGAAAATACACAGAAGCCATTTATTAGATACATGTACAAAAGTAATGGTGAATTCAAACCACCAAACGTCTAAGAAAAAATATGGATGAACAATTAGAAAAACATATCACAAGAACTATATTACCTGTCGTATGTTTTATGTGCATCCTGGAGTGCCTGTAACTCACCCTGAGTCCCTTCGGGGAGATGGTGACAGGATATAAATAAAGATGATGATGATGATGATGATGATGATATATAATAGAGAAAACGAGAATAACTAAAAGCAAAAGGACTGACAGAGCTGTATTTGAATAAAGCTACGTGCACAATAGGGGCGTATAGAGCTGGGACTAGTCAATGTGATAATGCAATTGTATTGTGTTACTTGTTTCTTTTTTAAATTAAAGACTAATTTTTAAAACTTTTTGCCAGAATAGGAAATATTGACTATTTGATGCTTTTTCTGTTTTTTTATCTTCTATATGTACAATGAAGCCCCTCATTACTTTCTTCCATGGGGTGCTGCTGTTGTTCTATCTAGGGGTTGGTCTTCAGCTGTATCCCCAACCTGTATGGTTTTGTAATTTTTGAAATATGTTCCAGGGATTTGTATGGCTTTATTTGCATGAATGTGTGTGTTTTTACAGCCATCCCCAATAATATAGATCATGATTTTGAAGAGGAAAGAGCTGGATTTAGAGGAAATGAATCTTAAGATAGAAATTTGGTGGCAATTCTTCTAGTTAATTCGATATGAATAGTGATGAAAATGCAGTATACTAATTGGATCAAAATTATTGTTTTAAAGGGAAAATCTTTGCTTACGTGTTTTTACTTGAATGCTACGAAGAAAGAGGAATAACTTTCCTCATAGAAGTAGCTGATTTATAAGATATTTTCTAGAACGCTTACTGATTATTCATTTATTTGGACTGCTTTCATATTCTTGATTGGTATCCTGTTAGTCCCAATTAGAGTAGAACAATTTAGTCAATTATTGAATGCTGAGTCAATGCATACAATTTTGAGTTTTCTCTAGTCAGAACTAACAAAAGAGTTTAGGCATCAGTTTAGTATACTTGTAAATAGCACAGAAAGAGGAAGTGCATCCAGAATAAGGGTTTTTTGGGGGGTTGAGATTTGTGATATGTGTTGAAAGTAAAGACTTTAAATCCAGTGACCCATTTTCTTCACAGTCTTTTGTGACAAAGAGCATGAGAAACGACTTTCATGTTGTATCAGTATGCAACTGTCTTTGAGTATTAATGCTGTGGAATGAATGACATCAAAGAATATTTTTGTATCATTTATTTTGTAATCTCAATTATCACTTCCAAATTTGTTAAAATAAAAACAAATGGCTGTTTTCACAGTTAAAAGAAAAGTCCCAGATTGGAACAGAATCTGGAACTCGAGAGCAACGACAGCAAATTGAACACCAAGGAGATGAGGCGCATCAACTACAAGCTATAAAGAAAAAGAAAAAGAGGGCAAACACCAGCTGTGAGAAAGTGAAAATAGTTCCTCAGAATTGTGAAGTAATGAGAAAGCCTTCCTTAGGTGCCCCGGAAAGCCTTCAGAGTGAGCTATTGGGGAAAAGAGATACATCAGCTGATTCTCTGTCAAAACACGCAGATGACTTTGAGCAGGGGCCCATTTCTGAAAATTTCTGTGAGCCTTGTAATCCAGCAAAGGATAGAGACTCACAGCTGCTCTTCAAGACTGAGATGACGGTGAAATCACATGAGCCCCTTTCTTTGCTCCTTAATATAATGCATAATCACACGGAAGATAATAGCAAAGAGCAAATAACACAGATAAGTAAGCTGTTTGCTCAGCAGTTGAAAAAGCCTTGCAAAGGAGCAGATAGTCAGCCTAGGATAAAAAATAAAATGAAATCCAAATTAAAAGTCACAGATCTGCAGTCACTTGCTGTCTCCCAAAAAGAAGAGAAAAAAGTAAGCACTAAGAAATCCAAGCAAATGAATCCGGTAGCAAAATCATCTTTTGTGAGAAGCTCCTTTTTTCCAAGTGAACAATTGCATAATAAACAGCTATTGCAAGATTCTCCTCAGCCAAAAGCCAAGAGCAAGAAAAACAAAAAGAAAAGTGACAAAGGAAGCTCATCAATTGGTAAGGCTGTATTTAATCAAATAATTAGTTAGATTTAAATAATTATTTTAAAAATCTTCAGCTACTTTGATAGCTTTAAAAATAATATCAGAAGTTAGAAGCACTGTCATACTCTCACAAGCAAATGTACAGATGTGGGTGGGGCTTTGGATCTTTGTATGTAAATAGTCTAAGGTTCAGTCCTTAGCATTTCCAGTTTGCTTTGGAAACACTCCATCAAAAACATTATGATGCCAGGTAGTGCAACTTTTCTAGTGAATTGTGATAGTGCAGTTGATCCCCCTTGCACAACATGCACTGATAGAAATGCCTCACTATATAGCCAGAGTTCTGTGGCACAGTGGGTTCCATAGCACTGTGATGCCAATTGTGTAAAAAAACTGCACTTGTACAGACACCCTGAAGATATTCTTTACTCTCCTTCTGGGAGTAGAAATGAGGTGCAGTGGCACAGTTCAACTTTACATGATCGTAAGTTTATTTACAATGACGTAATTAACTAACAATAGTTAGCAATATGTTTATTATCCAATTTCCTTCAGTGCCCCTATTTTTTTCCAAATTAAAAGCTATCTGAAATTAATTGTGTTTGTGCAATATAATTTTGCAGACGATGTGTTTTTGCCTAAAGACGTTGATCTAGACAGTGTGGAAATGGATGAGACAGAGCGAGAAGTGGAATATTTTAAAAGGTAAGACAAACCTCCTTTTGCTGTTATGTCCAGACCAGAAATCTCTGATACTTTCTTAGCTCCAGGTTGAGCACTGAGCAAATTGTTCATGCCAGTAGTGAAGATGAGATAATATTGAAACATAGGCACATTTTCATCCTTGTATTAGAATTATTATTACTACTACTATTACTACTACTACTACTACTATAATATTGATTTATACCCTGCTTTATCTCCCCAAAGGGGACTCAAAGTGGCTTGACATAAAAGCAGTAGTATACAATTTAGAATATACAAATATGAAACCAGAATTAAACACAAACAGCACTAAAACATTCACAGTTAAAATCCATCAAAAACATATTCAAAGTTAAAAACCACATCACCTCTTGACTAAACACCTTCATCTTTAAAAACCTGTCTGAATGAAAAGGACAGCAGAGAAGGGGCCATTCTGGCTTCTCTGGGCAGGGAATTCCAGAGTTGAGGGGCAGCTACTGAGAGGGAAGGTCTGTGCTCTTGTTCCCACCAACCAAGCTTGAGATGGAGGTGGGACCAAGAGAAGGGCCTCTCCTGAAGATCTCAAGGCCCGGGCAGGTTCGTACAAGGAGATGTGGTCAGCCAAATAGCCTGGACCTGAATTGTCTAGGGCTTTAAAGGCCATAGCCAGCACTTTGAATTGTGCCTGGAAACAGACTGACAGCCAGCGGAGCTGCTGCAACAGGGGGTTATACACCTGTCGCCAGCCCCAGTTAGCAACCTGGTTGCAGCTCTTTGGACCAGCTGAAGTTTCTGAGCACTCTTCAGAGGCAGCCCCATGTAGAGCACATGGGGCTGGATTACAGTAATCTAGACAGGATGTAAGTAAGGCATGTACCATCCTGGCCAGATCTGGCTTCTCAAGGAATGGGCGCAGTTGATGCACACGTTTTAATTGTGCAAAGACCCTCCTGGCCACCACAGATACCTGGGCCTCTAGGTTCAACACTGAGTCCAGGAGGACCCTCAAACTGCGGACCTGTGTCTTCGGGGGGAGTGTGACCCCATCCAACACAAGTTGAATCCCTATTCCCTGATCTGCCTTCTGACTGACCAGGAGCACCTCTGTCTTGTCTGGAATAAGTTTCAGTTACTGATGACAGGCACTGGTTTAGGATCAGGATAGCTTCCTTGACTTTAGGCGAAAAGGAGTAGTTGGCTTTAGGTGAAAAGGAGTTGGGTGTCATCCATATATAGATGGCACAGTATTCCAAAACTCCAGATGACCTCTCCCAGCAGTTTAATGTATCTGTTAAACAGCATGGGGGACAAAATGGAACCCTGAGGAATTTCACAGGTCAATGGCTAGGGGTTCAAACAGGATTCCCCCATCACCATCTTCTAGGTATGGCCCTCCAGGAAGGACCGGAGCCACTTTAAGACAGTGCCTTCCAGTCCCATCCCAGTGAGACAATCCAGAAGGATACCATGGTCAATTGTATTGAAAGCTGCTGAGAGGTCCAGGAGAACGCGCAGGCTGTCACTTCCTGAAAAGTCAAGGAAATGAAAATTTGATAAAGAAAAGTTGGGGAAATCATAATTAAGCTGTATTGATTAATTTTGATTTTTATTTATTGTGAGCTGTTGCTCCAAGGCTGTCTGCTTTTGTGACAAGTGGAATAGAGAAGCAAGATACCACAAGTGTGATGTACTGATGTGCAAAAATTTCATAATATACATATTTGTTTTTGAAAATATTTAATTTCAAAGTCATAGCATAGTATAATGTTTGTTAACAGTAAAACCAGAATAAAATAATCCTGCAGCACATCATTATTTTCTTATGGAGAAGATGACCATTGCCTTCTTGCAACTGAATAATTTGTCCATTATAAATCAACTGGAATAAATTTGAGTTGATTTCAAGATGTGCATATTTTGACAAGAATCAGTAAAGTGTGCCTTAGTAGACAGCCATTATTTCTTCCAGGCTGCTGTGAAATCCAACCCTGCTCCAGTATTACTATAATATCAAAAACAAAACCATGCATTAATGAAAAAAAATGGCTGTAACACTGAGACTACTGTGTTTCTACGAAATGAAATTCTAGTTTTGAAATGAGAACAAAGCTTTCAGTTATCATTGATTAAAAATGTTTGTGTTGTATCTTCCAACTTGATGTCATTTTTAGTGCAGTATCAAAACATATAATTTTTAGTTTACATTATTTAGAGGAGCACATTTTGAATTTTTAAAAAATTGCATTTCTGTGCTGCATAGTTTTATGACAATAAAACCTTTAATGTAGCTTATGCTTTTTTCAACTTTTTTGGAATAGTGCTTAGAGAAATGTGAGCTGAGCAAGATCAAGGAAATGGAAAATAATTTTTCGGTACCAGCTTTGTAGCAAAGGGAAGGGTGTTCTGCCAAAACCCCTGTTGTTTATATCAAAGAAAAAGAAAGCAGTCATAGGTTTCAGTCTCTCTGCAGGAGGAAACATCTATAGAGAATGATAAGAGTGGGGGATCCTCAGATAAGGATGTTATTGTGGGACAAATGGAAAACCTAGTCCCTTGGTGAACTGTTTGCTCACCTCTTCAGGCCATTACACTGATTATTTAAAAACAGGAATGCCTGCATGTGTTAACTGTGAGTCAGTAAGATATACATCTGTTTCCTGGTGAGTAATTCTCTCTAAAATTAATAAGGTTAATTCTGAAGGAGCCAAACATTGGCTTAGGCTCCACAGTCAGGTTTTATAGAATACCATAGATTCTGTGAGGACAAGGGCAATTACTTTATCATGCAAATGATTTACATGTATTGTTGTTTGGGTGTGTTGGCTGTCTGCAAGCCAAAGGGGATATTGGTTAATTACTTTGTATGCCAGAGCCCCGGTGGCACAGTGGGTTAAACCCTTGTACTGGCAGGACTGAAGATCGACAGGTCGGACATTCAAATCCAAGGAAAGCGCAGATGAGTTCCCTCTGTCAACTCCGCCCCCCCATGTAGGGACATGAGAGAAGTCTTCCACAAGGGATGGTAAAAATATCAAAACATCCAGGCATCCCCTGGGCAATGTCCTTGCAAACGGCCCATTCTCTCACACCAGAAGTGACTTGCAGTTTCTCAAGTCACTCCTCTCACACACAAAACTTTGTATGCCAAGGAGAACCATATCCAAAGATGAGGTAAGGATCCCTACCTTTATTGTGGTGTTGAATTGACCATTCCTATACATAAAAATGCATTTTTCTTTAATCAAGTTATGCATTCCCCATGTGCTTTCAAAGGAAACTGGCTCTTTACCCCCATACCTCCAAAATCTAATGTGGTAGCAGCTTTGACAATTAGGACTGCAATTTATTTCAAGATATCTAACTTATAAAATGTTTTTAAAATGTTCTACAAAGTTATTTAATTTTTTGACTTGCAGAGTAATAGTAATAGTTTCTCAATATCTTCTTGCATTAAGTTAAAACCAACTCTGTTCATATGTGAAGTTATGTAGTACTAAATGTATTAAGTGGGAAGTTTTAGTCCATTGCCAATCAGATAGATGGGAAAGGTAGCAGTAGTGTGCTCCAATTAATGATGGTTCTCCTTTCCATGTGTTTTCCTTACAGATTCTGCCTGGATTCTGCCAGACAGACAAGGCAAAGACTGTCTGTCAATTGGTCAAACTTTACCTTGAAGAAAGCAACCTTTGCTGCTCACTGAAAGACAGTCTGGAATTTGAATATTATGGAATTTAATGACTAACCTCACCTTCTCCTATACTGAGAACTGTTGTGGCCTTGAGACATAACTTCATTTGTCATGCTGTGTGGATCCTCACCGATTATGTAGCCCTTTCCCAGATTATTCTAGAAGACTGAAAAATTGCTGCTTTATCTTTGCATTTACTAGTTTTCGTGACTGAAGTCTGTGAATGAGACTTAATCTGACTGTAGCCTGAAGTTGTTGGAATCGGAAAAATAGCATGTTTCCAGTTTTTGGAGAAACCTTTAGCCTCAAACATTTTAAGCAGTACTGTTGAAAATAGGCTTCTTAATGGCCTTCAGCTGCTTGTGGCTCTTGCCATTGAAACTATGGCTTGCTCATTCTACAGTGCAACAAATCCAGCCAATTCTGTATTTTTCCTCTCTGGACTTCTCCAAACAAAGAACCACGGGAAAACATACTCTTTTGGGACAAGCATTTACTTTTGTTTTCCGCAGTCTACTGTTAAGAATGTTTCCAAGTTAAGCTGTTTGTGTTTTGATTTCTGATTTATAGCCAGCTTGTGTAAAAAATATTTGCAGAAGAAGGTTAACAAAGCAGAGTGTTCATACTCATGTATCAAATCAGTAAAATTGTATAACTGCATTAACACTGAGGACTCTGGCTAATTTTAACATATTGTTAAATAATATTAAAATCATGCCTTTCTTGTTGAAAGACGGAATATATTAGCAATCACAAAAGACTTCTGTGGTTTTTGCTGCCCTAAAAGATGACGATGAAAACCAGTGTCTCGAAAGCACTGTGAATGAAACAGACCATATGTTGATGATCTTTTGTTTTTATGTGTTTTTCACTTTGCCGGAAATAAAAAAAATAGTGAGGTCAAATTTAAAATCTAGGGAAAAATATATGAAAAAATCCTAAAGCAATATACAGTAAGTGAAAAATGTTAGGCTCAGATTGCTAGGTTTTTAGGAGGTAGTTAGGAGCCACGGTGGTGCAATTGGTTAAACCCTTGTGTCGGCTAAACTGCTGACCTGAAGGTCAGCAGTTTGAATATTTGAGACGGGGTGAGCTCCCACCTGATAGCACCAGCTTTCCACGTAGGGACATGAGAGAAGCCTCCCACAGGATTATAACACATCCGGGCGTTCCCCGGGCAACGTCTCTGCAGATGGGCAACTCTCAAACACCAAACGTCTTGCAGTGTCTCAAGTCACTTCTGACATGATTTTTTTTAAAAGGAGGCAGTTGTTGGAATGTAACATAATAAATATAACCAGAAGGAATTAAATTACAGTAATGGATTAATTTCCATTTTGGGATCTCCTCTCTGGCATTCCAATTTGAGCTGATACTTCTGTGTGCTGTTGGAGCAGTCTCTTAATGCAGGAAGGATGCTACCACTAATATAACTCATGGACTATCATGACTTCATCAGGCAAAGATGGAGAGCAGGTAGAGCTGGACTTCAAGGACTGAGATATCAAAGTTTGTCAGAGTCCTATGCTCCTTCAGAGGTTGGTCTTGCTCCAATAATTCTGTAATGCTATCCTTGTAAAAAGAGGTGGCAGGAATTAAATATTTTCACCACAACAGTGAGTGACAGCCATTTGCTCCAAATCCAGGAAGTTCTGTCCTCATGCATCAGGGCATACAGGCCCTCTTTCAGACCCCAGTTCTAGAACTTGAATAAGAAGCATCATAATAGGATGAGCATAAAAATAAAGGACAGCTGAATAGCACCTATATTTTAATCTTGTTACAACTCTTCATGTTAAGAGTTTCTGAGAAGAACATAAACCATTTCACATCCACTCCTGATGTCCTGCAAGGGTGATGCTTACAATATGTAGATTAGAAAAGGGAAATGAGCTTATGTATAAAAATACAATACCTTTATATTCTTAAGACAGATTTCTGTGTATTCTATTAAATGGAGAAGGGGATGTTAGAGGCAAGTTATTTGTCAAACGATGGACCCGGTAACAGCTATCTAAGGCAAGGGTCCTCAAAAAATTTTAAACAGAGGGCCAGGTCACAGTCTCTCAAACTGTTGGAGGGCCAGATTATAATTTGAAAAACAACATGAATGAATTCTTATGCACACTGCACATATCTTATTTGTAGTGCAAAAAACATTTAAAAGCAATATAATAATTAAAATGAACAATTTTAACAGATATAAACTTATTAGTATTTCAATGGGATGTGTGGGCCTGCTTTTGGCTGATGAGATAAGATTGTTGTTGTTGTGTGCTTTCAAGTTGTTTCAGACTTAGGTTGACCCTGAGCGAGGGCCGCATCCGGACCCCGGGCCTTAGTTTGAAGATCCTTGTTGTTGTGTGCTTTCAAGTCGTTTCAGACTTAGGTTGACCCTGAGAGAGGGCCGCATCCAGCCCCCAGGCCTTAGTTTGAAGACCCCTGATCTAAGGTAAGGAAGTATCGCTTGAGGCATTTTTTTCAACAGGACTGATGGAAAGACTGACTTCCTCCAGTGTTGTGTTTGAATGTCTTTTAGATTGCAGCTCCCATCAGGTCAACCAGAAGTTTGAGATCATGAGTGTTGAAATCCAATACATCTGGAGGTTATTGGGTTGAGAAAGACTACATTGAAGACTACAGTGTCTCTCTGTCACCAAGGAATTTTTTGGAGTCAGAGAAAAGTGCCCATTATGGAGTGGCAGAAGACTCCCTCATTAAATTACCACCTATCTCATTCAGCAGCATTGCCTTGGGGAATGTTCCCAGGGAGCAACGGGCCAAGGATATGCATCTAACTCAGAGTCTTACCAGCAAAATAACTATAAGATACCACAATAGTCTATGCTTTGCATACTACAAGTGACTCTTATTAAAGGTTCAGGTATAAAAATGCTGGTAAACACCTCTGTCCATAATTCTTGGAGAGCCACCACCAGTCAGAGTAATCAGTAGTAAACTTAGATTGACCAGAGTTTGCATTTATAAGGCAGTTTCTTGTGTCTCTATCCTAGGCAGAAACAATTAAATGCACCGCATCTTCCCACTATGATGAATAATGCAAGCTTTAAAATGTTTCCTTATTCTTCATATGTAACCAGTGACTTCATGGGATCTAGAAAAGCAAGGAAAAAAAATAGCAGATATTTAGTGGTCTAAATCCAGAACACAAATTTACCTAGTTTTTATATTCTTGGACAGGTTTAGTTTTGCTGGGGAAATCAATCTTGTCTATAGTTGTACTTGAAGTGCACATTTTCATCCTTATGTTTTGGAGGAGATAGAGCAGTGGGTCCTCTTCTATTTGCTTTGCTAAAATATTAGATGACGTTTGGCTCCTCCCTTCCCTGTATTACTCCCATTCATGCTTACCATTATAAGGGCAACTGTGCTAAAATTTGTGTGCTTTCTTTATTCCTATTCCTTTTCCCTTTTGTATCATTTTACATTGTAAGACTCTAGGAAGTGACTTCTTGCTTAACCTTTTTTTAAATCAATGTGCAGTCATCTACAATGTACAACATTTTGTCAATTTAGCATTATAAATGACTCTAATAGTTTGCTAGGCTTGAATACGGATATTGAGTTCAAGAAGCACACTTTTATGGACAAGATGATGAGAAATTGGGTTGTTGTAGGCTTTTTTTGGGCTATATGGCCATGTTCTAGAGGCATTTTCTCCTGACGTTTCGCTTGCATCTATGGCAAGCATCCTCAGAGGTAGTGATGTTTGCCATAGATGCAGGCGAAACATCAGGAGAAAATGCCTCTAGAACATGGCCATATAGCCCGAAAAAACCTACAACAACCCAGTGATTCCGGCCATGAAAGCCTTCGACAAAACATTGATGAGAGATTCTAAGAAAGATTATTTATATATGCCCCTTAACTATGTAGTTATTTGACTTGACATCACGATTGATTACACTTTTGATTTGGTTGATATGGCCATTTTAGTATAGAACAAAAATGCTCAGAAGGAAACATAGTGGTTACTTAGTCATAAACTTTCTTACACGTAAGATTTATTTGACATTAATCTTTTGTTGACTACGTCCCACTGCTTTGGATATAAGATTACTCATTATTAAACATAGCATGACTTGTGTTATACCATAAAAGATTATGAAAACTAACAACTAACTAAAAGCATATGTTCCGTATTTGATAGTGAAATGAACTTGCACACTGAGCACAGTCCATTAGCTTTAGCAGATTATTGCCTTCCTGGCCTGTTTCTGAACTATTCATGCTGCAGAAGTCTGTTCTACAAATACCTGTACCAAATGCAGAAATCTCTTTTGTTCCCTGCTCTTTACCTTTGTTGTTACTTGTATTTAAGTCCTTCATGGAGACCAACAAGACATTCTTCATGCCAGCTGTTGTTTCTGCATCAGAGCAGCTGCCAAAAAAGAGAGGAAATATGGCACATTACTTGGATTACTTCACAATTAAATGTGTTCCTCCCTGTTGCAAACACGTAAGAGAGAATACAAAGCCTGGGGATCATTTATTGGTGACTTGCTCTTTCAATTCTTCCAATTATGTGATCAAAGCCCACATTACGATTCCYGCCCAGTTMACCTGTCTGAACGTATCTCCCCCTACAAACCMWCTAGGACCTTAAGATCATCTGGGGAGGCCCTGCTCTCAGTCCCACRGCCATTGCAGTTGTGTTTGGTGGGGACGAGAGACAGAGCCTTCTCCGTGGAGRTCCTCGMCTGTGGAACTCCCTCCCCAATGAGGTTAGATCTGCCCCCTCCCTCCTGACCTTCTGGAAGAAGTTTAAWTCCTGGTTATGGGATKAGAATAGTTTGTTTACTGGGAAAGAAGATTTATTGGACTGGACTTGGACTGCTTTGGATGACMATTTTAATCTGACGTTYGRGAMTGGGTTCTTAATGCATATTTAGAATTATTTTAATTTTGTGYMTGTATTTATTATGTGTTTTATATTATGTTTGGCATCGAATTGTMMCRMGTTTGGAAYKCYTTCTGAGTRCCTCRGCGYAGGTCGAMAAGGATGGGGTATAAATGTTTTAAATAAATAAATAATGTTTCTCTCAAAAGCTTTGAAGTGGCAAGGCCATTCAATGCTAATCAAGGTGGCCAARTGCAACATTCACRTCAAYCAGSCAAGAGTTCTMTCTCTCACCCTGGATGTTCTACACATATATAAACCTCACTTGCCTAGTTTCCAACAGACCTCACACCTCTGAGGATGCCTGCGATAGATGTGGGRGAAARGTCAGGAGAGAATGCTTCTGGAACATGGCCACACAGCCTGGAAAACTCAGTGACCCAGCTTCTTACATACTTCCATATTAGGGGGGCAGCTCTTCATTCTTCAAACCTAGTGTTTGAGGTTTATCTCAGGAACTTTGGGAGTTCATAATTTGTTTATAAGGAATATAGTTGGGCAGGCCACGTACTGAGACGTATACAATAATATGCTTTAGTAGTAACTAAGTTCCGTTCTTTCCATTTATACATTCCCCCCTCACCATCTTATTTAACTAAAAAGCTAAAAGGATTCTCACATTTTACTTCAAGAACTTCTCTTTCTTAAAAAGCATGCAATTGTACCATCCCCAATAGATAAATACCCTTCCTCACCCACCCACCAAATTCAGTGTCATGATAGGTGTTCAGCAGTTGAGGGCAGTATAGAAAAAGGAAACTTTATAGCTATCTTCAGAGCATATGTATATATTGCCTGCCCCCCCCCCCCGTTGCCCCATTCCCCATGTATTGAAACCCCAAGTAACTGTTACCCCCCCCCCTTAAGAATCCAAGAAGACCCTGAAAACCAAAACTGTAGGAAGGAAAACAGCAATGGTGAGCGGCTGAAAAAGGCACTGAAATAAGCTGAATAAGGAAAAAGGCAACAGGGGCGACACAATTTATAACTAGTGCAGGCCTTAATGGGACAGGGGAGTCTTTTAAAGTTTGGAGTAATCCAAACATCTAGTTAATCTTTGGGATATTCAATTTTGTTTTATCAGTCTACTTTCTCATTCAGAAAAATTACCTGTCACATTGGTATCAGTGGCTGCATAATGGAGAGAAAGGGAAAAGTTTGGCTGTCAATCCTAGTACACTAGTTGTGATTAATGAACATTCATAAAGTTATATAATCTTGGTCAAAATTTCTTTAGTCAACAATGGAACCTAATTCATAAACAATGTAGGAAAGCAAATGGAAACTGACATTAACAGCAGAATTATTTTATTCGTAACATGCACAAAAAATGCAAATAACGTTATTACCTATAGGTTACTACTGGATGCTGAGGTTTCTTTTTATCTGCGAAGAAAAGAAAAGTCCATTATCTGTTTACATTCTAAGCTGAAAATGTGTACAGATAAGCTGTATATAAACTGTCAGTGCTGTAGATTTTGTCTTAACTATGGATTTGTATTATCTATCCAGAGTTCAGCTGTCTAGTGATCACAGAGGTCTGACAGAATAGACTGAGAAGATGTGGATTGCCTTAGAGCTTGCATAATTATTTTACTTTTCAGCGAACGTATTACGTGTTCTTTGATGACATGCCTAGCTGTGCATTAGAGATCAGTTAGGCTGTAAAGTGGACATGTGGTGGAGCAATGATAACCAATCCCCACTCCAAAAAAAAACCCCCAAACACCCCATGAGCATCATATCTACCGAAACATGCAGAGCCTAGGCAGTCCTTTAGAGTTGCCTTTTGCATATTCATGATCAAGGATTGCTAGGTAGATTTTCAGTGACATGCTAAAAGCTAATTTCTAAATGTAAACATCTACATTTGTGAACCTTCTAAGAATATTGGTTGGTACAACATAGAAGCATCTGGTCAAATCCTACATTTCCCTGCTTGGACATTTTAGATTTTATGGTAATTTAAAAATACATTGCAACCTCTTATCTGCTGGGAATACATTTTAAGACCCCCATGGATACCTGTTTTCATCCCATTAATTGCAAGCAGTAATAAGTGTGAATGGTTTGCAAACTCAGGTCCTAGAGAATGCCCTCAAAATTATGTTTGCTCCCTGAGTTGCCATGCACTTGTTCATGATTTAATTCTCCATAAGTATAAAGGCCCTCTTACACAAAATTGGAGCCCCCAGTGGCACAGTGGGTTAAATCGCTGAGCCGCTGAACTTGCTGACCAAAAGTGGTGGTTTGAATCCATGGAGCAGGGTGAGTTCCCACTGTTAGCCCCAGCTTCTGCCAACCTAACAGTTTGAAAACTTGCAAATATGTGTAGATCAATAGGTACTACTCTGGCGGAAAGGTAACAGCGCTCCATGCAGTCATGCCGGCCACATGACCTTGGAGGCATCTACGGCCAATGCCAGCTCTTTGGCTTAGAAATGGAGATGAGCACCACCCCCCAGAGTCAGGCATGACTAGACTTAATGTCAAGGGGAAACTTTAACCTTTTTTTACGCGAAATTAACCAATATACAGGGAGGGGGGCTCTGAGTTTTGATGTCGTCAGTTCTGATAACATATGAGCAAAGCTATGCCATGACAGCAACTGAATTGGGAAAGAACTAGGTCCAAACTAGTGTACAAAAATGTGCAAGTGTGTGCATGTGTGAAGAAGAGGAGAGGTTGGATGAGGCATTCAGGGAACATTTCAGATTCCCTAAAGCATCTTGGGCTGTAAATGCTTCTGCAGCTCTAGTACAAATGAAATTATATGGTAAAAACTAAAAAAATGTCTACAAACAGAAGAAAAACCAAAGTATACAAATTGACAGTAAATAACCACTGAAAACTGGATACTGTTTCCTTTACAATTTTTGTGTGTATCAATTCGATTTTTTGATGCTGATCACATAAATCACTTCAAAATTGTCACACCGTGTGAGGTTTTTGAGAAACCGCCAATTTTGTTTTATAATTATTGCAAAATTATGAAACATTTTCTTTCTCGATAGTAATTTGCACGATTTTTTAGATTGCTCATATCTTTGACAGCCATAACCAACATTATGTAACATCTAACAGAGACTCAGTATGTTAAAATACCACAAAAATACATTTCTGATCATATAGAAATTTGCTTGGGCATGCCAGAGGCAAGGAAACTAGAGGATGAGGAGGTAGGCAATGATGGTGATCAGATGCAGATGGAAGTTGATCCTGACTTTGTGCCATCAACATCCAGTGATTGTCATTTAATATCTCAGGCAGAGCTGAACAATCTGGTCAGAGATTTGGGCATATCGAAGAATCAGGCAGAGCTGCTTGGATCAAGTTTGCAAGGATGGACTCTTGTCATCTGGTATAAAAATCTCAAAATTTCTCCACTGTGATGAAATTTTGACAAAATTTTTTAGCCAAGCTGATAGTGTGACCTTTTGCTGTGACATCAATGAATTGTTTGTGTTCTCTCATGTAACCACGACCCAGCAGAATGATGATTGTTTATTGACTCATCAATCATAGAATCACAGAATCACAGAGTTGGAAGAGACTACATGGGCCGTCTAGTCCAACCCCCTGCCATGCGGGAAAAGCACAATCACAGTACCCCTGACAGATTCTTATGTTTGACGGCTGTTTTGCTGCATAACGGCAATATCTGCCCTTCTATATCTGTCAGACATGCTATTCATATGAAGGAATCAGATGAGAACATGCAACTTCTGCTGAAGCACCTTCAGTACTCTAAGCACAACTGGAATTTGTGTCGTGATCTTACGGTAGTTGCAATTCTACTGGGTCTACATCTTGGTTGCACAAAGTATTGCTATTTCCTTTGTGAGTAGGATAGTCGGGCAAGATATTTGCATTATATTGGAAAAGACTGACCTCCTCGCAATAAATTGGTTGCAGGGCAGAAGAATGTCACACATGTCCCACTGGTTGATCCAAAGAAGACATTTCTTCCGTCTTTACACATCAAACTGGCTAATGGAAAATTTTGTTAAGACAATGAACAAGCAAAGTGAAGCCTTAATTTATTTGTGGCAGCTGTTTCCCCGCATAAGTGATACGAAGATAAAAGAAGGTGTTTTCATTGGCCCACAAATCCTAGATGTGATGAAGGACAGTCACTTTGATGGTCTTCTACAGGGTGCAGAGCATGTTGTGTGGACACCCTTTAAGAATGTTGTTTGTAATTTTCTAGGCAGCTATAAAGCACCAGATTATGTTTAACAGGTTGAAAATCTGCTTCGGGCATACATATCAATGAAGTGCAACATGTTGAAGATACATTTTCTTCATTCCCACTTGGACTTCTTTCCAGACAACCTGGGTGCCTTGAGTGACGAACATGGTGAAAGGTTTTATCAGGACATTTCCAAGATGCAGAAACGATATCAGGGCAAGTGGAATTGGTCTATGTTCAGTGACTATTGTTGGAATCTCATCTGGGAAGCATTGGATAGTGATTAGAAATGAAAATCTGCTGCAAAACATTTTTAGTTTTGCTTCCTGATTTTTTTCATGTCAGGTGTGACTTGAGAAACTGCAAGTCGTTTCCTGATGACACCATTACTGTCATAGTGTATGCTGCTATAGACATACAGCATGGTTTCTAACTTTGAATATGTTTTAATGGATTTTAACTGTGAATTTTAATACTGTTTATATTTAATTCTGTTGTAATGTTTAATATTTGCATATTTTAATATGTATGCTAATGTTTTAATGTTAAGGTGTAATAATAATAATAATAATAATAATAAGAAGAAGAAGAAGAAGAAGAAGCCAGAATTGAAAAGTCAGTGACAGATCCCAAATGTAGACTCTGCAAGGAAGCAATAGACCACATCTTCAGCTGCTGCAAAAAGATTGTGCAGACAGACTACAAGCAGAAGCATAACACCTTTGCTCAGATGATTCATTGGAACGTGTACCACAAATATAATCTGCTTGTAACAAAGAACTGGTGGGATCACAAGCCTGAAAAAGTTACAGAAAATGAACATGTCACACTACTCTGGGACTTCCAAATTCAGACAGACAGAGTTTTGGAGCACAACACTCCTGACCTCACAATCGCGTTAAAAAACAAAGTATGGATTGTCGATGTTGCAATCCCAGGTGACAACAGGATTGAAGAGAAACAACTGGAAAAGCTGACATGATATGAGCATTTAAAGGCCGAACTGCAAAGACTCTGGCACAAGCCAGTAAAGGTTGTCCTAGTGGTGATAGGCACACTGGGTGCAGTGCCAAATGACCTTGGCCTGCACCTAAACACAATTGGCGCTGACAAGATTACCATCTGCTAGCTGCAGAATGCCACCTTACTGGGATCTGCATGCATCACATAGTCCTAGACACTTGGGAAGTGTCCGATGTGTGATCCAATACAACAGCCAGCAGAGGGATCTTGTCTGCTGTGGACTCATCTTGTGTTTCAAATAATAATAATAATAATAATAATAATAATAATAATTATTATTATTATTATTATTATTAATAATATTATTATTTACCTTTTTCTGGAAAACTGTACACGATACAGACATAATAAAAACATAGTTGTGTTCAGCATATTAAAATCTATTTGGTTCACCCAAAATTGTGGGAGAAACAAAATATTCCCAAAAATGTGTTGACCACTGTAATTGGCCATTAAATACCAATTCAATGCCTAGTTACATTTTCAGAGAGAACAGAATGTGCCGAAAAACATTCCTCGCAGTTCAAAAGAAACTTCCTCAGGAAGGAAACTAATCAATTTGGAGTTTACCTTAGGGATCCTTAAATGTGAAAGAGTCAAATTTTTGACATGTTAGAGAAACGTATGGTCAACTACAAGTCAAAGTAGCCCCCACTAAGCATTTCCCGTGGAAACAAACCACAATCGAATTAGAAACTAAAAAGAAATAGAATTATTTGTATCATCTGTATCGAGGGTTTGGAGTAGAAGGTAAATCACAGTAACAGAATTTTTTACCTACTATTTAAAAAAATTCAAAACAGGATTTTCTGATTCTATCTGAAATGTTTTTAAATGTAAGCTTGTATAGTCTGAATTTATCAGGAATAAACATGAAATGCAGCCTATTATTTTCAAATCTCAAGTTGTTGCTGAATTAGATTGCTAGATGCTGCTCAAAGTACATTAGAAAAAGAGAAGGAGCTAAATATGTATTTATAGACTAAATTTGGCCCTGAGGGAAGAAAAATAATATAAGATAAGAAAAAACTATGGCAATTCTTTTACATTTTAAGGGAAATGTATTTAGGAATCAATTAAATTTGAGAATAAGGAACTGTTAATGGACTGGATTAATTCTCAATTAACTAATTCTAGATTTATTTATTTTGGTTATTTATTTATTTTTACGGAACCTTTCTCCTGATATAGGAACTCAAAGCAACGAATAATAATGGAAAACAATACTCAAAACAAAATACCGATAGAGCAAAACATAAGTGTAACTTTAAACACTTTATGATATCAAAAGCATTCACATTGAAATATAAAAATGTATTAAAACTTTATTTCTGCCTTACAATCTCAATCTGCCTATACAGGATGTGAGGAAAGAGCACACACTACTACATTACACAGGAAGATACATAAGGTGGAGTTAAAAATCAGTTGTAATAAACTCTAATGAATTACATTATATAACTAAATTTGGAAAAAAAGTTCCTGGTTTGAAAGTGCTATTTCCTGTTTGATTAGATAGTAGTTACTTTAAAAGGAGTTGTTATACTCCAGAAACTTTGTTTTTGTGGCTGCCACAAGCTATGTTGATTTGGTTGAAACTCTGTGAGATAGCCATTGAAAAATTATAGCAAAATATGCTGCAGGATGTCCTGCAAAAAACATTTTTTTGCAATTTAATAAACTTTTTTCCATGTTTTAATCATAGGACCAATTTATTTTATTTATTTTGTATCAAAAGCATTGCATAAATTAGTATAAAACTGATAAAAATAGAAGGAGCACAGGCGACTAAATATCTTTTGACCAAAAATGGGCTACAGCAACGGCATTGTCTGTAGCCTCCAACAATTCTTCCTCTGTACATGAGGCAGGGCATAGTGGACAAGCATGCAGAAATGGAGTTGTCTGTTCTGCTCCACAGTCACACATAGACCCAATTAAGAAATGACATTTATAACCCAGAAACAAAAATTGTGTTACATAGAGTTATCAGTGGTTTGAATAGCCATTAGAGACGTTAAAGAGGAGGAGGAGAATGGGGTAATAGAGCATGGAGATAGGAGAGATTGAAAATGTGGAGGGAAACATCAGTGGGGAGAAACTGGCATCTTTTAGAAAATATGTCTGATCAGAACAAACTAAAGCAGATTCGGGTTGTTGCCCCTCTCGAAATAAGACTATGGTTGACTTACGAAAACTATGAAGACTGAAAAAGAAACACAATACAGAACTTTGAAGAATGCCAGAAGTGAAATGAATAGAAGAGGAAGGATGCGAATAGATACCAAAAGAATGGTCAGAGAGCCATGGTAGACGTTGGATTCAGTACATCTTTGCATCTAGTCTTCCTGGCTTGTACGTGTAAATAACAGCTGGGATTAGAATCACAGCAAATAGGTAGAGAAGTTTAACATATTGTTCCTCTGCTGAAAATTACTCCTCTATATCTGCTAAAGGTAAAGGTTTTACCCTGAATTGTTGTAGGTTTTTTCAGGCTATATGGCCATGTTCTAGAGGCATTCTAGAACATGGCCATATAGCCCGAAAAAGCCTACAACAACCCAGTGATTCTGGCCATGAAAGCCTTTGACAATACGTTTTCCCCTGACATTATGTCCAGTCGTGTCCGACTCTGGGGGTTGGTGCTCATCTCCATTTCTAAGCCGAAGAGCCGGTGTTCTCCGTAGACACCGCCAAGTTCATGTGGCCAGCATGACTGCATGGAGCGCTGTTATATATCTGCTGTTTATAGTGAAAAGAAAGCTTCAAGACTTCAGAGAGATAAAACAGAACATTGACATGACTACAGTATGAGCCCTATACCTACAGGACTGATATCCATGGTTTCACCTACTTGAATTCAACAAAATATGCTATTTTTAAAGGTACTCTGTGGTATGTTTCTACCAGAAGTCACCCTGGAATACCAAGAAAATTCCCTGATAGGATACTTGTCCAGGAATTTTGGGATGACTATGATACCTTCCCGGGGAAGTCATTCACTTCAGTAGTGTTTGCTCTTAGCCATGGCTCCCTGTTTCCACTGTACGTTTTGAAACATATTACTCATAGATATGGGGGTCATTTCAAAGGGCCTGAAAATAGGAGGGAAATCAAAATTCTTAAGTATTATAGGACACAAAAAATGTGGTGGAAGAGCTGAGAATGTATAAGCTTATAATTTCAGCATGAATTCACTATATTCAAAAAGTGTAGAAAGCAAGAATGGCATATTGGCAAACAATGCTGATTTGCTAAAGTTATGCACGCAACAATAAGGATGACATAAAAAGACAATGAGCTGGCATTAATTTCAGAATCAAAGTAAATAACCTTTCTGAAATAAGTGATGATTATGGTAAACAACAGCAAGGCTGACATTAAATGGATAAATTAAATGGACAATCAGATATCCCTAGAGTCATTTCAGTACTCTGAAACAGCAGTAAATTTTAGTAAATACCTTTTGTATCTTTGCAGTGATGGCACTTGAATCTTAAGCTGACCACACAGACCAGGATGAGCACGATCACCACCAAAATGACTATGAAGCTGATGACACCTGAGTAATGGGTGAGAAAAAACAACTACAATCACCACTACCCCTAGTTTTATCTTTAATATCTCTTGGGGCCATTCCAGACAAGCCCTATATCCCAGGATCTTATCCCAGGTTTTCTGTTTATCCCATATTATCTGGCAGTGCAGACTCATATAATCCAGTTTAAAGCAGAAAACCTGGCGTCAAATCCTGGGATATAGGGCCTGTCTGAAAGGGCTCTTGGTTTCACTAATAGAAGAGGCAGGCCTGTAGCCAGGATTTTGTTTCTGGGGGTGGGGCGGGGGGCTGAGTCTGAGTGAAAGAGGGTCTACCCTAGCAAACCTTTTGTATCGTTACCCCAATACACCCATGCACATGAGATATATTGAGCATGGTGATCATATCATGATATGAATAAACATAACAGTTTAAATAATGTACCAGTAAGGCCTTCCCGCGGACCACCATGAGAATTTCGGGGGGGGGGGGGCTGAAGCCCCCCAAGCCCCCCCTCCCCCGGCTATTATTAATACCCTGCTTTATCTTCCCCAAAGAGACTCAAAGTGACTTAACATACAAATGTTAGCGTAATATCTAAAATATACAAATATAAAAACAGAGTTAAACATAAATAGTATTAAAAGATTCACAATTAAAACCATTCAAACATATTTGATGCATATTCATGTAAGTTTTCCCCTATTTCCTCTCCATTTACACATGCTGCCAAAAACAGAGTCCTGCTGAGGCCATCCCATGATGCATGGCCAAGTGTTACCTGATTCCTGATTTACGAGGGGAAAAGTGGGAAGAAGATGGGGAAATGACATGGGATGGCTGGCCATCCCCGGAAATGGACCTTCTGGGGTAAGGTGAGTCCCCGCTCTTCCAAATGCTTTCCCTCGCTTCTCTCCTGCCCGTGAGATAATGTCCTAAGTCTACATGTTCAATGAGGCATTTAATGAGATTTAATGAATGCAAGATATTTATATAACAACATGGATGCTTTTTTACCTTAATTTTTCAGGGATTCCAATCGCAAGGAAAGCCTACACACAAATAGCTGAATACAAAACATAGCTTTTTGGGTGAAGGACAGAACAGATATATAGCATAGTATCTTAAAATTAGTGAAAATGGGTGTTGCCCTAAACATATTCATCCAAAAATAAATCCCACTGAGTTCTCCAAGGCTGACTTCCAGACAAACATTCACAGAATTGGAGGCTTAGGGCATATTGTAGGAAGGTATGATAACACAATGGTGTTCTAATATTTGTTCATAAATATGGCAAATACACAAATCTGAGGTCAAAATCATAGTACAGTGTTGCAGCATTATTATTCCATTTAAACTAAAACCCCACAATTCCACATGAGTCAGCCAAAGCACTTAAAAGTAGAACGACAGCACTATGATAGCGTAGTATAAGATTGACATGACTCTTGCTGGGCACAAAATTCTATCTTCTGCACACCATTACTGACATACTGTTCTTTATAATGGGTCAATATAATCCTGTATCCATGGGTAATACGTTCCAAAAAAACCCAATAGACACATGAAACAGTGGGTAATAATGAACCCTATAGTTTGACCATTTGAGCCAGAAGCATAACATAAAATTACACTGGAGGATCACATGACATAGAGGATGGGAAAATATTTTTTTTTGGGGGGGGGGGGGAGCATGGGTGAGAGAAATCATTGATGTCAAACTCAATGTTATAATTATGATTTCCATGTGGTCCAAATGCTTAAAACATAGTGTTTTTTTATTGGTCTGGAACCAGAAGCACAAACAAATGGGAAGGGAGCTGTAGACTTCTTCAGACTGTCCATACAAGTTCCTCCAACTCCTGAAAAAGTTACATAGAAGGTCTGGAGTGCCTGCTGAAAGGTAGTACATGGACAAGGAAGGATTCTCTCTCCATCTTAGCCTTCTCAGAGCAAAACCCTTCCATCCACGAAAGGCAGATACTTTATAATCATTGCCTTTAATTGTGCTGTCCACTGTGATTCTCATCACTTCTGTAATGAAATGTCTAATTATAATGTATGTTTTTTGTTGTTGTTCATTCGTTCAGTCGTCTCCGACTCTTCGTGACCTCATGGACCAGCCCACGCCAGAGCTCCCTGTCGGGCGTCACCACCCCCAGCTCCTTCAAGGTCAGTCCAGTCACTTCAAGGATGCCATCCATCCATCTTGCCCTTGGTCGGCCCCTCTTCCTTTTGCCTTCCACTTTCCCCAGCATAATTGTCTTCTCTAGGCTTTGCTGTCTCCTCATGATGTGGCCAAAGTATGTTTTAAATATGTTTATTTATGATATGATAAGTGCAGGCCACCATTTACTGTGGCTGCTTAGCTGATGCGTTGCCATAGCAACGGAGCCTGTTGCAGGAATGTAGGATGGATCTATAAACCATCCTTTCTTTTCCTCAGCCACAGTTATGATTGGCATTTTGTGTTCTAATTGCTTGTCAGTTTGAACTTTAGAGTCTCATAGGATGTTTATGTCACAAATAATTTTTGTACCAAATATTTCCAATAGTGTGGTATCCGTCATTATAAGCATGACATCTCATTCTGATGTCTCTACTTACCAGTTGCTGCCACTGATAAGGCTGCCGATTCTGTCGGGGAAGGGGGACTAAGGAAATCCGTCTTTGCATCCAGGGATCGGGTTTTGAGAGTCACCAATGTGGATGTACCTGTGGAAACTAAGAAGAGGAGGATGTGTAAAATCTTGACCGATATGAAAAGTCAGTCAATTGTAGCCGGATTGCAGGCAGACACTTTTTTTTTACCAAAGCAGAGGAGAGAATGGGCATCTTACTTCGACAGCAGCAGACGAAGGAGTGCTAGCAAGCATGTGGGACAACCAAGCTAACCAGGACACGGCATAGCATGATGTTTCTGCAGCTTCTCAGCTGCTCTAGTTCACATGTACTTTTGACCTTAAAGTGTGTTTTGAAATTTTGAACATTGAAGTTATGGAGATGACAAGCTATGAGATCTTTTGAGTAGTATGTGTTTCCGATAGCTGTCCTTTGTCTCAATGCTGGTCTGTAGCCTAGAAATGTGGTAGGGGTAGTAATCTAGTTTGTTTCTGTATTTGGGTTGTTGTAGGTTTTTTCGGGCTATATGGCCATGTTCTAGAGTAGAGGCATTTTCTCCTGACGTTTTGCCTGCATCTATGGCAAGCATCCTCAGAGGGTCTGTTGGAACTAGGAAGAAGGGGTTTATATATCTGTGGAATGACCAGGGTGAGACAAAGGACTCTTGTCTGTTGGAGCTAGGTGTGAATGTTTCAACTGACTACCTTGACTAGCATTTGATTGCCTGGCAGTGCTTGGAGCAATCTTTTGTTGAGAGGTGATTAGATGTCCTTGTTTGTTTCCTCTCTGTTGTTGTGCTGTTCTAATTTTAGAGTTTTTAAATACTGGTAGCCAGATTTTGTTCATTTTCATTGTTTCCTCCTTTCTGTTGAGGATGTTTGCCATAGATGCAGGCAAAACGTCAGGAGAAAATGCCTCTAGAACATGGCCATGTAGCCCAAAAAAACCTACAACAACCCAGTGATTCCGGCCATGAAAGCCTTCGACAATACATAGAACACTATTTGTCCATTAGTTCAGGTATCAAAGCATGCTGCCTTAAGCCATGGAGAGTCAGATTATTAATAAAAAATAATATTGGTGTTTACTTATTTCATACTCCATACTCTATCATTTCTCCTATTCTCCTGCAATATTTTCAATTTGCTCAGCACCATAGGTTTTGGTGCACTTGTGTCATAATCACAGAACAAGAATAAAGAAGGCTATCCAGAATGTAGCTGCGATGGAACAAATAACAGACTATCTCTGACCCACCAAAATGGGTTCATATTCTCTCTCACACATAAATCAATCAGCAGTCCTTTTTGGACACACAAAAACATTTATTTCCATCCGGTGCTTAGTCAATTGCATATTATGCATACTCATAGGCATGCAGAGATGAGAGATGATGCAAGAGCACTTTCCTACCAAAGCATCTGCCAATTGGGAAAGTCCTGTAAATTTGTACTGCATTTTTAGACAGGAAAGAGAAGACTAAGGATAAAATACATTTTCATTCTGTTTCTTGGAGCCCCCGGTGATGCAGTGGGTTAAACTCTTGTGCCAGCAGGACTGCTTATTGACCGGTTAGCGGTTTGAATCCGGGGAGAGCGTGGATGAGCTCCCTCTGTCAGCTCCATCTCCCCATGCAGGGACATGAGAGAAGCCTCCCACACTGATGGTAAAACATCAAACATCTGGGCATCCCCTGGGCAACATCTTTGCAGCCAGACAATGCTCTCACACCAGAAGCAACTTGCAGTTTCTCAAGTCGCTCCTGACACAGAAAAAAAACACTGTTCTTTCACAGTACTCTAAACAGAAGCACACAACAGTTTTATTTTTTTTCAAGAACATATTTTAAAAGGTAATGCTATCTACTTAAAAATATCAATAGAGTGTTTTACCTGCCAGAGATGGAAGTGCAATGCTTTCATTTTCCATAAGCTCAGAACCTATAAACAAAGTTTGAATATACAAAAGCTGTTAGAAACTATTGCTCTTTTAATTTGTCTGAAATTTTGTTATTTTCCCTAAATTGTCCTCTAACTAAAGTAAAGGTTATTTCATCTGATCACATTTAGCTGCTCCCCATCTAACTGCCCTCCGCTATAATTTCCAATGGTCCACTCCATTTGCCGCTAACTCTCCATTTAGTTCTTTCACCAGTATTGACAATCTGCTTTTGCCTCCATCTCACATTCATCTCTTGCAGTACTTTCAAAATATTTTATCAAGGTAGCAGATTTTAGAGGGAAAAAAGTTCATTAATTTTTTTAAAAAAGTTTTACTAGCTTTTCCTCCAGTGTTGTTGAGCTTGATAGATTGCTTAATTAATCCTGAAGTAATCCCCACTTTTCAACACATTTATTGTTTTAGGTTATGAGAAAATGTTAAGGAAAGGGGTGGACCATTCTCTGCTAAATACATTAAGACAAAAGTCTTCAGGAGATTAAGCGTAATATAATTGAATGGTAAGAAAGAGAAATGATAAGAGGATAAAGTGGTGCATGGGGATGATTTGTTAGTTTTGCAGAAGTATCTCAGACAGCAATGGCTTTTTTTCCAAATGTGAGGTCTTTTAGGGCTTAAAGCTGGTGCTCCCAATCTTCTTGACTGATCCGTGCGAAAGTTGTTAGAGGCACGCTGTGTGGAAGAAGGGCACTATGACTCTCTCAAATTCTTCATTTCCTCTTTTGTTACTAATTTCGTTTTCTGGTTTTGTAGATTATGTCAGCCACTCTTTTCCCTCACAAAGAGATTTGGATAACAAACTCTTTGATTTTAGCTCACTACTATCTTCACGACCGCATCTTCTATGAACCAGTGTGGGCTCTGAGATCTGCCGGGGAGGCCCCTCACTTGGTCCCACCACTGTCTCAAATACAGTTGGTGGGAACGAGAGAGAGGGTCTTCTCGGTGATGGCTCCCTACTCTGGAATGCTCTCCCTAGAGAGATTAAGTAACCCCCCTCTCTTCAAGTCCTCTGATCCAGCCTAAAAACATGACTTGTAAAACAAGCCTTTGATCTTGGGTAGATTTTAAGGGTTTGTCTGAGGATTTGGCAGCTTCACTTTGACACTGGGTTTGCTAATTGAAAACAATCAGTTTTATCTGCAGTTATGGCAGTGTTTTATGAATGTGGACTGTTAATTTTATTATGTGATATGTTATGGATGTCATCTCATGTTTTTATTGCTGTCTATGTAATTGTTTTTATTTTATGTGCAGCACTTTTGGGTGCTTGTTAGCTGCCTCAAGTCCCTTTGGGGAGATGGTGGTGGCGGGGCATAAATAAAGATATTATTATTATTATTATTATTATTATTATTATTATTATTATTATTATTATTATTAGATTAAGAACATAATAGAGTGGGAGACAGAGGACTCAAGTACACTGACCACTAAGATAAGTTCTGAACTAGTTTGGCAGAAACCAGGAAGGCGATACATTGCCCACAAAAGATGGCGTCGAACTGGTTCCAGAAACCACAGAATCCTTTTCCCATTTCAGAGTGAAATGCAAACCAGAGCTCTAGAGGCATATGAAGTGGGAAACAAGAAGGGAAAATGACAGCAGTAGAGGTGATCAATTGCCTGTCCGGGGGGGGGGGGGGGATCACTTGGCTTTCTGCTGTCCAGCCATATCTTTAGGACATTTGATTTTTGGCAGTTACAAAGAGCCTTGGCACAATGGGTGTCTACAATGCACTTCACATTGTGTGGAGGCTATTTTGCTGTGCAATGTGGATTAGGTTTTTCTCCTGCTGCAGTGCATTCGGGGCTTATTTTGGACTTTTCTCGTGACTTCTTTGGCAGGAAGCATTGCTTAGGCACCACCATTGAAGTTAGTTTCAAACTGCACTATATGGTTAGCATTAATGACCCCAGAGGGAAAGAAATTACCTAACCTCACTTCATTTGGTTTGGGTAATATATGTCTGCTTAATGTGTTGTTGAAGGCTTTCATGGCCGGAATCAGTTGCTGTAAGTTTTCCAGGCTGTATGGCCATGTTCCAGAAGCATTCTCTCCTGACGTTTCACCACATCTAGATCTTCTGGAACATGGCCATACAACCCAGAAAGCACACAGCAACCTTATGTCTGCTTAGTCTGCTCTTCCAAAATTAAACACTTAACAGCATCAGCCTTCCAATTTATTGATCTGGTGTCAACTATTAGTAGCTTTATGCTGAATGGGCTGGTGACAAGGCAGCAGGGATGCCTTGATTTGAAGAAGACCCAGAATGTTACAGCAGTTGTGCTACACTATGAGAACTAGACATAAATCCCATGAAGCTTACTAGCTGACTTTGCACCCAACATAACCTATTATTTGTAGGGATAAAATAGGTGGAACTATATGTGCTGTTCCCGGATCCTCTTAAAAGAAAGATAAGAAACAAATAACATGTTCTCTAGTTTGCCTTGTTTAACCAATGGAATAGTTCTGGAACTGTCTTTAAAATGTATATGATTGCTTTAATAGTAGTATGTTTATGTTTTTAATGGCTACTCTGTATGTTCTGTGTTGGTAATGGAATGCTTTACCTATGTGGAAACTTCCCTGAGTCCCCTAGGGGAGATAGAGCAGTATACAAATAAAGTTTACTATTACTATTACTGTTGTTGTTATTATTATTATTATTATTATTATTATTATTATTATTATTATTATTAGAAACACAACAAGATGAGTCCACAGCAAACAAGATCACTCTGCTGGCTGTTGTATTGGATCACACGTCGGACACTTCCCAAGTGTCTAGGACTGTGTGATATATCGGCGAATAATGTGTGCGGATCCCAGTAAGGTGGCCTTTTGCAGCTGGCAAATTGTAATTTTGTCAGCGCCCATTGTGTTTAAGTGCAGGCCAAGGTCTTTAGGCACTGCACCCAGTGTACCGATGACCACTGGGACCACTTTTACTGGCTTGTGCCAGAGTCTTTGCAGTTCGATCTTTAAAAACTCATATCATTTCAGCTTTTCCAGTTGTTTCTCTGTTGCCTGGGATTGCAACATCAATTATCCATGCTCCAAAACTCTTGTCTGTCTGAATTCGGAAGTCCCAGAGTAGTTTGACGTGTTCATTTTCTGTAACTTTTTCAGGCTTGTGATCCCACCAGTTCTTTGTCGCAGGCAGATGGTATTTGTGGCACAAGTTCCAATGAATAATCTGCTTGTAGTCTGTCTGTGCAATCTTCTTGCAGCAGCTGAGGATATGATCTATTGTTTCATTGCAGAGTCTACACTTGGGATCTGTCAATTCTGGCTTTGATGGCATTTGTTCTAATGGCATTTGTTCTAATTAATTATTATTATTATTATGGGAGCCCCCGGTGGCGCAGTGCGTTCAAGCACTGAGCTGCTGAACTTGATAACCGAAAGGTCGCAGGTTGAATCCACGGAACGGCGTGAGCTCCTGCTGTTAGCCCCAGCTTCTGCCAACCTAGCACTTCAAAAACATACAAATGTGAGTAGATCAATAGGTACCACTCTGGCGGGAAGGTAACGGCGCTCCATGCAGTCATGCTGGCCACATGACCTTGGAGGTATCTACGGACAATGCCGGTTCTTCAACTTAGAAATGGAGATGAGCACCAACCCCCAGAGGTGGACACGACTGGACTTAACTGAACCTTTACCTATTGTTGTTGTTGTTGTCAGTCAACAAGTTTAGCCGACACAAGAGTTTAACTCATTGTGCCACCAGGGGCTCAGGGGGAAGTGGTAATTTCAGGAGTTTCAATGTGAATGAAAACTGGACTTAGCTTCTGGGAAGTTCTTTTTTAAAACAAAGGCTGCATATATCAGAGCTTTCTTTCTGACAGTATGTGCTTTGACCATGGAATCCTAGAATTATAGAGTTGGAAGAGACCACATGGGACATATAGTCCAACCTCCTGCCATGCAGGAAAAGCACAAAGTACTCTGGCAGATGGCCATCCAGCCCTATCAATATAGCCTGATTATAGAAAAAAAAAAGTCATTGCTTATGCCATACAAGTTATTATGTTTGCACTCAGCATAATGTATAGTTTCAAAAATGATTAAGAAGGCTGTTGCTTCCCATGTATTTTATTTATTCAGCTGTTTTTTCATTAGCAGTGATATCACTTTTCCTTCCATGAACAATGAAATGTGTTTGCTGTGATATCATCACATTGCTAAAACAAACGTTCCTTTGTAGCCAGTGTTGACGGTATATTGTTTATATAAAGAGAGCCATAGTAGTTAATCTGTAATCCCCAAGTATTAAAATCTATTTATAGCACAATACACCACCAAGAAACATCTGGATTTGCAGCATTTTACAGTCCGATTTGTCAAAAGCTCTACTTCTCTTTCATTAACTGTAAACTGCAAATGCCAGATTTGCTCGGACACTAAAGGCTTCTTTGATTTGCTGCGTGATATGACCTTCCTTTATACTGAATGACAGCATAGGTGCATCTAATCCAACAATGCCTGGCCAGCTTTCAAGGGTTTCCAGTATAAAGAAGCCTTTCCCAGTCCATCTATTCGAAAATATCTCATTGACCCCACCCCCACCCCCCAAGTTTCTACCAATTGGTCAACACCAAGTTTATCAGTAACACAGTAGGAACTTAAATCTCAGTAAAAACAGTTACAATTAAGTGATAAAGAACCTTACCTTGAAGAAAAATGAAGTGATAAATCCACAAAAGCACCAGGATTTTCACAGTAGTCATGGTGTTTCCCACTCACCACTTCTCAGAGCCTGCAGTTCTCTTCATTCAGTGATGAGAAAAAGCCAGGAGAAAAGTTTTCCTGCATGTGTTGATTGTCTTGGGGCTTCCTGTTGAATAATGGAAGGAAACAGTCTGAATCAACAGGGCGAACGACTCCATGGAATTCTTCTTGCGGCAGTCTAGTTTCAGAGGAAATGGAACAGAATTTACTACAGCTGTTACCAGACTCTGATGCTTAACTAACGGGAAACCTGTGGGAAATCAAAATAGTCGGACTGAAGAATAATTCCTAACATTATTATTACTGTTGTTGTTATTGTTGTTGTGGTTATTTGAAACACAGCAAGATTAATACATAGCAAAAAAGATCACTATGCTGGTTGTTCTATTGGATCACACGTTGGACACTTCCCATGTGTCTAGGACAGTGATGGGCAACCTTTAGAGCAGTGGTTTTCAACCTGTGGGTCCCCAGGTGTTTTGGCCTACAACTCCCAGGAATCTCAGTCAGTTTACCAGCTGTTAGGATTTCTGAGATTTGAAGTCCAAAAACATCTGGGGACCCCAGGTTGAGAACCACTGCTTTAGAGCTTGCTGTGTCAAAACTTGCCAGAAAAAGTGAGCATAACTCGGGTGGGGTATCATTTTGAGAAAAAGAAACATAATTTTGTGATATTTATTAGTTTACATAACAAAAATATATAATTGTAATCTATAACTGTATTTAACAAACCAAAAACTAATTATTTAACTTACCTGCTTAGTGTAAATTAAGATGGCTGCCGCTATTTCTACTTGCGGGAAACAACACCCATAGCACAGGCTCCCGCCTCTCCCTCATTTCATCAGTAATTATGGTCAATTAGCAATCCACGACACCCAGAACAGTAGATTGGATAATGGTTGCTGTGGTTCTGTGGTTGCTGGTAAGGGCGATCACAGGGCCCCCATAGATGCGTCCCCTGTGGCATTGCGCTGCTCCCTGTTCTACCGGCCAGAAGTGAGGTCAAAGATCCCCTAACGGCCTAACCAGAAGCCCCAGAACTAGACACTCCATGCCAGAGTTCTGTCGTTTTGACTTCCAGACCTCCAGCACAGGGTGTCTACACAACACTACAGCAAATGTTTCATCCTCGGCTACTGCACTTGGCCGTCCAGGAGCCAAGGATGAAATGTCCTTCTCAGCATGCAGCCCCATAATTCTCTGTATGCAGGCGTGTGTGGCCACGTGTCATCAAAAATTGCTATGTGTGTCAGTGCTGACACGCATGTCATAGGTTCACCATCACGGATCTAGGACTATGTGATGTATCAGCAAATAATGCTTGCAGATCCCAGTAGGGTGGCCTTTTGCAGCTGACAGATGGTAGTTTTGTTAGCGGCGATTGTGTTTAAGTGCAGGCCAAGGTCTTTAGGCACTGCACCCAGTGTGCCGATCACCACTGGGGCCACCATGACTGGCTTGTACCAGAGACTTTGCAGTTCAATCTTTAAATCCTCATATCATGTTAGCTTTTCCAGTTGTTTCTCTTCAATCCTGCTGTCACCTGGGATTGCAACATCGATAATCCACACTTTGTTTTTTAATACGATTATTATTATTATTATTATTATTATTATTATTATTATCAGTATTATTTATATTATTATTTGAAACACAACAAGATGAGTCCACAGCAAACACTCTGCTGGCTGTTGTATTGGATCACACGTCGGACACTTCCCAAGTTTCTAGAACTGTGTAATGTGTTGGCAAAGAAGGCGTGCAGATCCCAGTAAGGTGGCCTTCTGCAGTTGGCAGATGGTAATTTTGTCAGTGCCGATTGTGTTTAAGTGCAGGCCAAGGTCTTTAGGCACTGCACCCAGTGTGCCAATCACCATTGGGACCATCTTTACTAGCTTGTGCCAGAATCTTTGCAGTTTGATCTTTAAACCCTCATATGAAACCCTGGGATTGCAGCATTGACAGTATTGACCAAGATTATGGCAACCGGACTGATCAATAACTGGCAAATAGAGGGAGAAAATGTGGAGACAGTGACAGACTTTGTCTTTCTAAGTGCAAAGATTACTGCAGACGCAGACTGAAGCCAGGAAATCAGAAGATGTTTACTTCTTGGGAGGAGAGCAATGACCAATCTCCATAAGATAGTGAACAGTAGAGACATCACACTGACAGCAAAGATCCGCATAGTTAAAGCAATGCTATTCCCCATAGTCACCTATGGATGTGAGAGCTGGACCATAGGGAAGGCTGAGCGAAGGAAGATAGATGCTTTTTGAACTGTGGTGTTGGAGGAAAATTCTGGGAGTGCCATGGACCATGAGAAGATCCAACCAGTCCATACTTCAGGAAATAAAGCCTGACTGCTCATTGGAGGGAAGGATATTAGAGACAAAGTTGAAATATTTTGGCCACATCATGAGAAAACAGGAAAGCTTAGAGAAGACAATGATGCTGGGGAAAATGGAAGGAAAAAGGAAGAGGGGCCAACCAAGGGCAAGATGGATGGATGGTATCCTTGAAGTTACTGGCTTGACTCTGAAGGAGCTGGGGGTGGTGACGGCCAACAGGGAGCTCTGGTGTGGGCTGGTTCATGAGGTCACAAAGAGTCGGAAGCAACTGAACAAATAAACAACAAGAGACTGACTAGGCATAAAATGATATAGGTGATTATACCATGGATAATATGGATGCTTCATTTGGAGGCACCCTATTACTCTAACTGGAGTAAACAATTTTCTCTTATAAAACTGTGAAGTTCACTATGAATTCTATCAACAACTGTTGTGTAGCATGCAAGATTGTGTCCACCATATGCAGTGAAGGATTAATCATATCTTCCTCATCTGTAAAGCTGCTCAAAATGTTACATACAGAGTGCTTAATGTCTACTAATTAGACTGGTGTAAATTTTAAATCAGAGTGTTGCATTGATAAGCCTGTCAGAATGTCCTGAACTGCAAGACCAGGACATTGCCACACATTCTGGAGTTTACAGATGGTATAATGCTGAGTTTTCCTCTACAGATGGAAAGTTAATCTCTAGCTTTCAAGATTAAGGTTTTACTCTGATTGAAAGAGAAATTCCCAGTCATTGCTGGTCACAAATAGAGCCAAATCTCTTCATTAAGCCTTTTGAGCGCAAGAGGACCGGATATTCTTTGAACTGCGGCTTTCTCATATGTATGAAAATATCAGCAATATTTGCCAACAATCATTCGAACTGCCAATCACCTTGGAAGCCAACCTCAAGGTAAGGAATGAAGCACCTATATGGAATGGATGTGACTGGCAGGCTGGGTGTGGTTGTATGCTATAGAATATATTGATCATTGCTTTACACTCCAGAAGAAAACTTCCATTGATTTGTACTGTATTGTATTTTAAAATCAATTCTTAGCCTAATGTGCACAGAAATAAAAGAGGACACTTTATGCATTTTTAAAATATTGCATCTGAGCATCATTTTTAATATTTTAGATTCTTAGTTTAAACTCCAGGAAAATGAGACAATCGCTTTTAGATTTTTAAAGACAGCCAAGATTGGGAAAGTTTTGAGAGGGATACCTTCACATTTTAAGAGTTTGTTTCTTAAGCAAGTCATGCTTTACAGGCTTCCATTATCTTCAGAATATGTCCTGGGGTGCGTCTACACAGTAGAATTAATGCAGTTTGACACCACTTTAACAGCCAGGAATCATGGGAGTTATAGTTTTACAAGACCTTGAGCCTTACCTTAAAGGGTGCTGGTGCCTAGCCAAACTACTAGGATTCCATAGCATCGATCCAATGTCAAACTACATTAATTCTATGGTAGTGTAGATGCACCCTTGGAGACCCACATAGTCCTGTGCATGACAACTTGAGGAAAGTCCCATTGTATCCATTTGGGATTATAATTAAACAATTATATTTAAAGCTACATCTTGATCTCTGGATTTGTGGACTCAAAGTAAACAAGATCCAAAGCAGAAAGTATTTTCAAATGTGAAGCCAACTGTGTCACCAGGTTTGGCACTTATTTTATGTGTCGAAAAATGGCAAGGGATCCAGTTGGGTGTGATGAGCATTGACAGGTTGGGATGTCTCATATTCACTTTCCTTTCAACCTATGCTGCTCATTTATATTTTTCACACCTATTGCATGTAAGTTTGGACCATCCCACAGCCCAACCTTCAGTGTGGAGCCAAAATAAAATCTGGTCTCAGGTATACTACGCTCAGCCCCTTGGAGGCAACAACTGGTAGGAATCAATGGATTACTATCAGTTAAGGGTACTGTTCAATTATCTGCGTGGAGGCCATTAGAGAGTGCTAGAGAGAGAAGGCTAGTCCATTTTATGGGGGGGGGGGGGGGGAAATTGAAGGAGGAGAACCATTTCCCCCATTTTCACTGGTTATTTCCCCTCCCCACTTCCCATTTCATAAATGAGGGTTATTTCCACAACGGGGACATGGGTGGGAGGAATAACAGGAAAACACGGGGAAATAGTTTTACTCCTTCAACTCACCCTCTAGTCCCATAAAATGGATTATCCTTCTCTCTCTAGCGCTCCTCTAGTAACCTCCACCCAGATAATGGAACAGTACCCAGTTAAGTAATGAATGAAATTAAGAGGCAATTTGATTTGAATTATTCAATTGAAGCAACTATCTTATGGTAGAATTTGAGCATTAAACATTTTCCAGAGTTAACTTTTAATTGAATGCTTCATTAATCAGAAGGACCCATCATGGTGAAGATACGCCACTTAGAGTCTCTTTTGGGAGAGATAAATCAGGGTAATAATAATAATAATAATAATAATAATAATAATAATAATAATATGTCCTATTTTATATTACTTTTATCCAAATCCAGTTAGTCTGAATTTTTGCAAAACTAATTCTTGCTTTTTGTTAGTTCTTCGGTGTTGTTAAATTAAAATGTTTAGGTCACAAAACCAAACATGATAACTCATGTTAGAGAAAACTACCCTAAAATATAGCAGAGCATCCAAAAACATAAACAGGATACAAAAGTTGAGTTAATTACATGCAGAGCATGAAGTGCCATGTGATGTGGCTGCAAAGAATTCAGAGCTTAGGCAGGGAAAGATGCAGAGTCCAATCTTAAAAATCACAAAAGGTTTATTTATAAGAATAAGAAATAATTGCATTTCTTAATAATCAAGAACTGGGTGTGAGCTACTCTAATACCCATCTTGTCCAAGGTTTCAAAGAGAGGGACAAAAACACGAATCACTACATCTCTCTGACACACACCCAGAGAGAAAGAGAGATCTCAAAGCACACAGCACACACAAAGATGTAAGAAACAGAAGTCAAAGGCTTGAAGTAGAAAAGTGTCCATTCTACACAACCAATCAGAATGAGATCAGAAACAGAGAGGAGAGTAGAAATAGATACATTCCCATACAGGACACACGGGGGAAGGGAAAGCCTTAATCTATACAAAACTAACTGCTCCTCATTGAGGACTTGAGACTTGGGCAGTGTGGGGTTGAATTCCAACAGTTCCTTCTCAATAACAGCTGAAGAAAACATGGAACTGAATGTACGTAGGTGTGAGTCTTTAAGTCACCTGTTGATTTATGGTGATACCATTAATTTCATAGAGAATTTTCAGCTAAAGTGGAAAAACTGGATCAAGTTTTGGATAGTAGGGACCTATGTGAATCCTGTGAGGGTTGTTAAATGCGAATAAACATAAGCAGAAGCTTTACCGCGGCATTTAAACCAAGATATACCCTGCAATATAATAAAACGTCACTCAGGCTTGCGAGACAAAATAACTGTATATTTACTTTAGTTCAAAATTTCAAACAGAGCAATAATATATATACATTAGTCTCAGACCCGTAGCTGGGGGGGTGGGGTTTGAGGGGCTTCCCACTCGAAATTCTCGGGGGGGGGGGCGTGAGAAGGCCATACTGGTACATTATTTAAGTTGTTGTGTTTATTCATATCATGATCTAATCACCATGCTCAATATATCCCATATGCATGGCGGTATCAGAATAACAATACAAAAGGTTTGCTAAGGTAGGTAGGTTCTGAGCCACACACCCCAAATCAAACTCAGCCTCTCCCCCGAATCAAACTCCCCCCCCCCCCCCAATCAAAATCCTGGCCATGGGCCTGATTAGTCTCTTTGGATTCAGGCAGAGAACAGAGGAATGAATAGTCCTTTTAAAACAGTTTTTAAAATATGCCTCAAGCCTCAAAATGATCAGACTTCAAGATAGTTGGCAGTCAGCAATCTCTTCACTGTCAAAGTGAGAATGGCAGTTAGAACTGTTGGTCTCAGCAGCAAGCCAGAGGCAGCAGCCAATCAGAACTCTTGCTCCTGGCACGCTCAGCCAATCACCTGCTGCAACATGTCTCTCCATGGCATCCTTTTTCAAATCTTCACAAATCCTACTGGTTCTGCTCTAGTTGTGAGATAGGATCTAAGCTATTGTATCTGAATGTAAATGCTTATGTAGGAAAAATAGCTTCCCCATACAAAACAAGAAGATAATTAGTCCTATCGCTTTTGGACGTACAAGTAACTTTAGCAAAATAAAACCCTGGGGTTGATGGTGGTATCGAAAGATTCAGGAGAAGACTGATCATATTCAGTCGGCATGGTGTGAGATGGAAAACTAAAGTGAAAAGTATGGAATGGTTGGGAAGCTGAAGTGGAAATACTTCATGTGGCAAGACATAGTTGCAGGATTGATTATTTCTTGCAATATTTATTTTCATTCATTTTTAAACATACAAACCTGAACTGTACTTTTTTGAAATTTATGAAAAACTGATCTTATATATAAATACAAATGAACTGCTATAACTTGCCAGGTATTGATATCCATTTTTAGATTTGCATCCTGGTTTTGTAGCTCTACCTAAGATCCTAATACACAGTTGTAGAAACATTTGATTACTAAGAATTGTGTTACATTATCTGAAAACTTCCAGAAGATGTGCTACAGGGCTAAGATTCCTTTCGGAGGAGAGATTTATGTTGACTTTTCCTTGTTGGCTTGTTTAAAAATTTATAGAGTGTAAGGGAAGCAAACAGGCACTCCTATAAGCAAATAGCTCATCTAGCAACCATCTGTCCGATTTCCAGGAAGCAACTACACTGTCATTCATTTTAAAGCAGGAAAGGTAGCAAGGAATTACATCAAAACTCTAGCAAACACTGTACATCAGTGACGTGAGATATTCAGTGCTTTCTCTGTGCTTTCCCGGTACTCACTTCTTGCTGGGGATTTCCTTGATCTGATGGAGGCTAGAGGTGCCAGCCAGGCACTGACATTCCCAGGCAGATATCAGTCTCCGACCTCTTAGATGCTATGAGAAAGACTATGTCCTACCTTTCACCTTTACTAAAGGCATGTCAAACAGACCTGTAGTACAAGAAATCAAGCTAAAGGAAATTCCTTCAACAACAGTGAGTGCAAACTTTGGTGGGGCTGGGAATAACCTCTTTTTCCAACCACTTCCAAAAACATTTGTTCATCTTCCTTATGGGCTATGATATTACCACTCAGGACTGTAGCCAGAAAATAATTTTGGTGCGTGTGTGCGTGCGTGAATTTTTTAAGCGAATCATGAAAAGTAGTTCCACAACACAAAATTATTTAAATAGTACGGTTCATTCAATATTTTATATAGACTTAATTAAATCAATTTTCTCATCTCCATCATGAGGGACTTCAAGTCCCATCCATGCCTTAGGCTTTGCCTACCAGTTGTGGGTGGGCCAACTTGGTTGCTTCCACTATATTAGCTATTGCTGCAAGTAATTACTGTGAATAAATTGTCAAAATTTGCTTGAGATAGCGCTTGCAGTTCTGGAGATACTCGTTTAATTTTTGCTTCTCATAGACTTAGTTTGGGGATTTGGTTAACCAGTTTAAATTCATGAGTAAACCAGGTTTTTTTTTACCTGACAATTTGGGGGGGAGAGGTGAACCCCTAACCCCCCTCCCCCTGCTACAGCCCTGTCACCACTATTTTCACAACATTCTGTATATCTGATTACACTATGTAACAACATTTGAAAAAGTTTATGCTCCTAATTTGAAAGTGTTATTTCCTGTTTAATTGTGCGGTACTTATTTCAAAAGTAGTTGTTATACACCAGAAACTTTGTTTTTGTGACTGCCACAAACTATGTTGAATTGGTTGAGACTTGATGAGAAAAACTGAAAAACTATAGCAAAATGTGCTGCAGGAAAACCAAGTTTTTGCAGTTTAATAAACTTTTCCCATGTTTTTCTGATAAAACTAATTAGGAAATGACATTTATAACACAGGAACAAAAATTGTGTTATAAATGTCATAGTGTTATGGATTGAAAAGGAGCTCTATATTGAATGTCACATTTGGTTGTAGAGGCTGTGTTAGAAATTTGTTAGATATCTGTCACAGCCAGGGGGACTATTTGACTAGGTTCTTGTAGGTTTTTTCGGGCTATAGGGCCATGTTCTAGAGGCATTTCTCCTGACGTTTCGCCTGCATCTATGGCAAGCATCCTCAGAGGTAGTGAGGTCTGTTGGAAATAGGAAAATGGGTTTATATATCTGTGGAATGACTGGGGTGGGGCAAAAAGCCATTCCACAGATATATAAACCCATTTTCCTATTTCCAACAGACCTCACTACCTCTGAGGATGCTTGCCATAGATGCAGGCGAAACGTCAGGAGAAATGCCTCTAGAACATGGCCCTATAGCCCGAAAAAACCTACAAGAACGTAGTGATTCCAGCCATGAAAGCCTTCGACAATAGTATTTGACTAATTCTGCAGATCAGGGTTCAAATCGAACCTGTGACCTGTCAGTCTTCAGTCCTGCTGGCACAAGAGTTTAACCCACTGCACCACCGGGGGCTCCTATGCTAATAGCTATCTGCACTTTAAACGTTCCCAAGGATACAAAAATATTAGGCCTGGGCGGTTTCGTTCGTTAATTTTGTAATTCGTTAAATATTCGTTATATTTAACAATTACAAAATGAATACAAAACACATTTTCAAACCCGGAAGGGTTTTAAAATAACGAAACGGCATCCCCCATACTTTTAACGAGCTTCCGCCCGTTTCGGAAATGGGATGGAGGATGCTGGTGCCCTGGGAGCCAATCCGGCGCTCCCAAGCACCCAAGCAGTGCACCGTGGCTGATTGTGATTGGCCGGCAAGCCCTTTAAAAGCGGCTCCGCGTGGCCGCACAGCTCATTGTTGCGGAGGCGAGGGAGAAGAGAAGAGGTCCGGGAGGGCGGCTTGCATTGGGTTGGCTTGGTTGGTTGCTGGCTAAGCTTGGATTGGATTCATTCCTTGCTTATTTTCATTCCTTGCTTGGATTCATTCCTTGCTTATTATTCATTTTTTAATTTTCCATTTTTAAATATTTTTTAAAAATACCTGTCTTTTATTCTTAAAAAAAAACTAAAAATATTCTTTAAAAAAGAGAAGACTCTTCTGTGGCTGTGTGCTCTCGTTTGTCCCTGTTTGTGGCTGTGTTTGCTCCACGGCAGGGAGAGCATTTGTGCATTTTCCATTTTTGAATATTTTTTAAAAATACCTTTCTTTTATTCTTAAAAAAAACAAAAAATATTCTAAAAAAATAAAAGACTCTTCTGTGGCTGTGTGCTCTCGTTTGTCCCTGTTTGTGGCTGTGTTTGCTCCACGGCAGGGAGAGCATTTTGTGCATTTTCCATTTTTGAATATTTTTTAAAAATACCTTTCTTTTATTCTTAAAAAAAACAAAAAATATTCTAAAAAAAGAAAAGACTCTTCTGTGGCTGTGTGCTCTCGTTTGTCCCTGTTTGTGGCTGTGTTTGCTCCACGGCAGGGAGAGCATTTTGTGCATTTTCCATTTCTGAATATTTTTTAAAAATACCTTTCTTTTATTCTTTAAAAAAATCAAAAAATATTCTAAAAAAAGAAAAGACCCTTGTGTGCCTGTGTGTGCATTTGTCATTTGTGTAGTTCCAACCAGTGCGCTCCTTTTGCCAACACAAAGTGCTATAATACAGTGGCTCATTTGTGTAGTTCCAACCAGTGCGCTCCTTTTGCCAACACAAAGTGCTACATAATACAGTGCTTGCTCATCATTTGTGTAGTTCCAACCAGTGCGCTCCTTTTGCCAACACAAAGTGCTATAATACAGTGGTCGCTCATTTGTGTAGTTCCAACCAGTGCGCTCCTTTTGCCAACACAAAGTGCTACATAATACAGTGCTTGCTCATCATTTGTGTAGTTCCAACCAGTGCGCTCCTTTTGCCAACACAAAGTGCTATAATACAGTGCTCGCTCATTTGTGTAGTTCCAACCAGTGCGCTCCTTTTGCCAACACAAAGTGCTATATAATACAGTGCTCGCTCATTATTTCTGTAGTTTTATTTACGAAATTATTTACGAATTATTATTTACGAAATTTCGTAAATGCATTGCGCATGCGCTAACGCGGGCGCCATTTTAACGAATCAATTCGTTATTAGCTTGACACCAGTAATAACGAAATTTCGTAAATGCTTTTTTGCGCATGCGCTAACGCGGACGCCATTTTAACGAATCGATTCGTTATTCCCATCAAAATTACGAAATTTTGTAAATGCTTTTGCGCATGCGCTAACGCGGGCTCCATCTTTACGAAGCGATTCGTAAATATTTACGAAATTTCGTAAATACCAAACTTTTTAAAGGGAAAATTTTGTAATTATTTTAAATATCGAAACAAAAAAACCCCCCAAATACAAATCGATTTTAGAAACAATTTTTTCCGTTGTTACCCAGGCCTAAAAAATATCATGGCACAAATATGGTCTCAATCTCTGCACAGTAGGGAAAAAAATCCTGTTTTATCATATCTGAGTCCCTCTGGGGAGATAAAGTGGAATATAAATAAAGTGTATGATGATGATGATGATGTCTTCACTATGATGAATACGTTTTAAAACTATTTTAATTTTTCACAGGTGTATACTTTTCCAAGCTATGAATTCCTCTCTTGCAAGCAGCCATCTGAGACAATATGAAGTCCCGAGTTTGATTGATGTCACTCCAGGCTATGCCACAACAAAGAGAGGAGATGGTCTTGCCATGATCTTCATCATTGTAGCCATTTTTGTTCTCTTGGCTGTGATTATTATTGTGACAGTTCATTATGGTCCACAGCTACACAAAGCCCAGATCACTCTGTACCACGAACCTCTGCCCCAAGACATGGACAATGGGGTCCGTTTAACAAACTGGAAGAAACTTGGTTCCCAGAAATCATGCAGTGTGCAATCTGCTCTGACACTGGAGAATAATGCTACTGGACTTAATGTTAAATATGGGACTGCAAAGCCAACCATCATAGAAATCACTTCTTTGTGAAAAGCCTTTGGAGAGCTTATAAGATTCCCATGGAGGCTTTTCCGATATGGCTGATGCGCATGTTAATACTCTAGTTGACATCTGATACCCACAAATGGTTCAACATTTGATATGATCACTCATCTCTTTACCAAATTTGCGTCCAGTTGACTCCCTGATGACCCAGCAGCAACTGAAAATGTGTTATGAAAAATTCAAGAGTGAACATGATCAAATATGGACAACACTTCAGATACAACTTGTTGCAGTGGTAACACTGAAGAAAAACTATCTCCATTAACACTGTGTCAATGCAATTTGTATTGATTGTATTTTCCACCAGCATTCCCAATGTGCTTTCTAGAACATTTGATTAGTCTCCCAAGACTTATTTGTGAAGCATTTGAAAGATAAAATAATCTACATTGACTCCATGATGAACACGTATAACATGTTCTGTGAGTTAACAGGGTGTTTGTAAAGGTGTGACCTAGCATGTATATGCCCAACTAGTAGCTAATTCAATCTAACTCGTACATGTGACCAATTGACTCCATAAAGTAGGTACTGCATCCTTGCCCTTGAGAGAGAAGGCTCACAATGTTTTGTCAAACTGGAAGTTTTGAATAACACTTTGAATAGTGTTTTCTGCATCTAACTTGTTTTTCTCTAAGAACTGATCAACAATCTCCCCGTTTGGGGCATGATGTTCAAACCATGTTTATCCAGGTTTACTGAGAAAAAATGATTGATGAGACTGATTGTATTATTTTTCACAATTGGTTTGTATTAGACTGGATGCAGAAAGTTCAATCCAGGGAAAGAGAAAAAAGGAAAGTTACGGTATTTTCTCCCTGGACCCTAGGGAGATGGGGTCCAGACAGTTTTGGATGGTATTACATTCTTTCAAATGAAGAGTTGTCAAATCCAACTCTGCAGTATGTGTTTCTACATGTCCGTTACTCAAAGTGCCTTGTGGCAGTTTCTCTGTAAAAGTAGCAAGACAAAGTTCCAGTGCAATAAAATGGATGTGTGCTTGGAAGTGCATTGCACAAACCTCAGTAGCCTGAGGTTTAGGGAATTTTAATGATTTACACTTTAATTTATTAATTGGCTTTATATATGGTGTGTTATTTGTTTATTTGGGTTATGATATTTTTGTAGTATTTAATGTTGTTTATTTTGCTCTTTTAACTTCTATTTATTTATTTATTTACTTTGCTTATATACCGCTGTATCTCAAGCCCGAAGGCGACTCACGGCGGTTCACAAACAGTAAAAACAGTAGAAACAGCAGTGGTTCCATACAACATATAACAATTGACTTAACACATTATCCATAAATTACCAATAAGCAGTTACAATGCACAATTATTACAAAAAACAACCGTACCCAATCTTCTCATCATCCAAGCGTAGTCCAGGTTCGTCGTCCCTTGTTCCATTCCTATGTTCCATTACCAGATTGCACTAAATTACTCAAACGCCTGCACAAACATCCAGGTCTTCACCTTTTTGCGGAATACCATTAGAGATGGTGCTAGTCTAATGTCCGTAGGAAGGGCGTTCCACAGCCGAGGAGCCACCACCGAGAAGGCCCTATCTCTCGTCCCCGCCAGCCGAGCTTGAGAAGCAGGCGGGATCGAGAGCAGGGTCTCCCCGGAAGATCTCAATGTCCTGGTGGGTTCATAGGCAGAGATGCGGTCAGATAGGTAGCTTGGGCCGGAACCGTTTAGGGCTTTAAAGGCCAACGCCAGCACTTTGAATTCAGCCTGGTAGCAGATCGGTAGCCAGTGGAGTTGGCGCAACAGGGGGGTTGTATGCTCCCTGCGCTCCGCTCCTGTTAAAATCATGGCTGCCAAGCGTTGGACTAGTTGGAGCTTCCGAGCTGTCTTCAAAGGCAACCCCACGTAGAGAGCGTTGCAGTAGTCTAAACGGGATGTAACCAGAGCGTGGACTACCGTGGCCAAGTCAGACTTCCCAAGGTACGGGCGCAGCTGGCGCACAAGCTTAGCTGTGCAAATGCTCCCCTGGTCACCGCCGAAACCTGGGGTTCCAGGCTCAGCGATGAGTCCAGGGTCACACCCAAGCTGCGAACCTGCGTCTTCAGGGGGAGTGCGGCCCCATCCAACACAGGCTGTAACCCTATGCCCTGTTCGGCCTTGCGACTGACCTCTGTCTTGTCTGGATTCAATTTCAATTTGTTCGCCCTCATCCAGACCGTCACAGCGGCCAGGCACCGGTTCAGGACCTGGACAGCCTCCTTAGTAGCAGGTGGAAAGGAGTGACAGAGTTGGACATAATCCGCGTACAGATGACACCGTACCCCGAAACTCCGGATGATCTCCCCCAGCGGCTTCATGTAGATGTTAAACAACATGGGAGACAATATTGAGCCCTGAGGAACCCCACAAGACAATGGTTGTGGGGTTGAACAGGTGTCCCCCAACAACACCTTCTGAGATCGACCCTCCAGGAATGACCGGAGCCACTGCAAAACAGTACCTCCAAGACCCATCCCTGCGAGGCGTCCCAGAAGGATACCGTGGTCGACGGTATCGAAGGCCGCTGAGAGGTCAAGCAGCACCAACAGGGACACACTCCCCCTGTCGAGCTCCCGGCGCAGATCATCCACTAAGGCGACCAAGGCTGTCTCGGTACCATGTCCCGGCCTAAAGCCAGACTGTGCCGGGTCTAGATAATCCGTGTCTACCAAGAATACCTGGAGTTGTGAGGCCACCACACGTTCCAAGACTTTGCCCAAGAAGGGGAGATTGGAAACTGGCCGATAGTTGTCGAATTTAGTGGGGTCCAGTGATGGTTTCTTCAACAGCGGTTTTATTATAGCTTGTTTTAAGCTCGCTGGAATCTTGCCTTCCCGAAGGAAAGCATTAACCACCACCTTAACCCACTCAGCCAATCCCCCTCTGGCCTCCTTTAGAAGCCAGGATGGGCAGGGGTCCAGGATGCATGTGGTTGGCCTCATTCCTCCAAGTATCTTGTCCACATCCTCGGGTTTCACCAATTGAAATGAATCCATCAAAACTGGACAAGCAGGTGCTCGTGTTACATCCTCAGAGACTGCCATTAACATGGTATCCAGACCAGAACGGATCAAAGCGACTTTGTCTGTAAAGAACTGAGCAAAAGCTTCACAGCGAGAAGTCGAATCGTCAGGGTTCCCACCTTGAGTGGTGGGATTTAAAAGGCCTCTGACAATTCGGAACAGCTCAGCCGGACGGTTCTTTGCAGACGCAATAGTGGCCGCAAAGAAGGTTTTCTTTGCGGCTTTTATTGCCGCGGCATATGCCCTTAAAAAGGACACAAACCGTGTTCGATTTGACTCGCTCGGATCTGAACGCCACACACTCTCTAGTTCCCTCTTCCTTCGCTTCATCGCTGCCAGCTCCTCGGTGAACCAGGGAGCTGGTTTAGCTCGGCTACTTGAGAGGGGACGTTCCGGAGCGATCGTGTCAATTGCCCTAGTCATCTCCCCATTCCAGAGAGTGACCAGGGCCTCGACAGGATCACCTACCGAGGCGGCGGGAAACTCCCCAAGAGCCATCAGGAATCCATCCGGATCCATAAGCCTCCTGGGGCGGACCAACTTAATGGGTCCTCCACCTCTGCAGAGGTTAGGGGGCGCAGTGAGCCTAAATCTGACCAGGAAGTGGTCGGTCCATGGCAACGGAGAGATGGTCAGCTCCTCGACCCCACCACCTTCCTCCCATCCCTGGCAGAAAACCAAGTCCAATGTATGTCCTGCACTATGAGTGGGGCCAGATACTTGCTGGGACAGCCCCATGGTTGCCATGGCAGACATGAAGTCCTGAGCCGCTCCTGAAAGGGCCGCCTCGGCATGGACATTGAAGTCCCCCAGCACAAGGAGCCGCTGGGATTCCAATGCCAGGCCTGAGACCACCCCCGCTAGCTCAGGTAAGGAGACTGTAGTGCAGCGAGGTGGGCGGTACACTAACAGAATCCCTATTCTGTCCCGGTCACCCAACCTCAAGTGGACACATTCAAAATTATGCCACTTTGAATCCCACCCATTGGAAGAAAAGCAGGATAAAATAATAATAGTAATAGCAATTTAATTAAATTCCTTTTTGAACACTAATTCTGACAGCTTTTAGAGATTTATTAGATATGTCCCAAGAAACATCTATTATAATGTGTTTAACTATCAACCCAGGGATTTTCACAACCACCTGTCAAAATGTTTACAGGAAGTTGTTGTTTATTCATTCAGTCGTCTCCGACTCTTCATGGCCTCATGGAACAGCCCACGCCAGAGCTCCCTGTCGGCCGTCGCCACTCCCAGCTCCTTCAAGGTCAAGCCATTCACTTCAAGGATAACATCCATCCATCTTGCTCTTGGTCAGCCCCTCTTCCTTTTTCCTTCCATTTTCCCAAGCATCATTGTTTTCTCTAAGCTTTACAGGAGGTTACTCATTGTTAAAAAAATAATGAGATTCAAATAAGCATCCTAGAAAGGTGTCTGAGAACTACATGTGTTTTGCGGGTTTTTTTAGTAGACATAACTAAAATTCCTCTTACTTGACCAATCTACATGTTGTTGTAATATCATTTTTATCACCATGCATATTTAATTACCCAATATAGGAGTTCAACATCCAATACACTGATTGTCTTCTTGGTATTTTTTGTCATTGATCAGTAGTTCCCAACCTGTGGTCCATGGACCATCAGTGGTCCCCAAGAACTAAAATATGGTCCGTAGACTCATTGTTATTACACGGTTGTAACGAGAGTGACTGGTCTTGTGAAACCCTCTTAAACTGCTGAGGTAACGGGGATGCCGAGAAGGGAGAGGCTGATTACCCACGAAAGGCGTGACAAGCCTCCTGACTGCTGCTTCTCCTCCTCCCCCTCCTCCCTCCCTCCCCCTCCCTGAGCAGAGCCATTCCATGTGGTGCCTGGAAGCGGGGGTGCCTCGGTATCTTCATTTTTAGGCCTGTTACTGGGGTTATTTGGGGTTCTGATTCAAAAAATTGCATTGGATAATCCACATTAGCTCTATATTATTAAATATGGTTTTCTGTGGACGAGCACATGGTGACTACTGGATGGCATATGTTCTGTATCAGAAATTAGAGCTGATGTGGTCTATCCAATGCAATTTTCTGCATCAGCACCCCAAATAACAAACCGAATCTAAAGTTGACCAAAAACTGATTCATAACCCTTTTGGCACTAATGTTGTAGAGTGGTCCCTGGTCAAAAAAGGGTCGGAAACATCATGTCTAATGTTATTAAAAGCCAGGGGTCCCTGGTTTCTTTTTACTGGTCTACAGACTGAATTTGTTTTGCAGCTATTGGTATGTTAGTCAGAAGTGCATAGCTTCTTGAGATCTATGAGAAAATTACAGAGTGGGATAAATTTTATTTATTTTGCTTTTCCTGTCAATTCTCCTCTACACCAGTGGTTCTCAACCTGTGAGTCTCCAGGTATTTTGGCTTACAACTCCCAGAAATCCCAGTCAGTTTACCAGCTGTTAGGATTTCTGGGAGTTGAAGGCCAAAACATCTGGGGACTCACAGGTCGAGAACCACTGCTCTACACTATACATGTATGTACAGACCATGCTCTCTTTCCAAATCTTTATTTTTTAAGAGTTTCTTTCCCTATAGATAGCACTTTTTGTTCACTCACTTTTAGGAAATCTGTGGGTGATGTCAGTGTTAGTCCTTTTTTTAAAAAAAGCATCTCTGTTCAGTTTCAGACAGGATTTGTGATGTTTTTAGTGTAATAAAATACAGCAAGAATGCTAATGGAGTTTTATATCAAAGCCGTCTTCCTTACAAAGATGAGCCATTGTATTACTTTTTATTGTACTCAGCCAAATATTAATTATGATTATTTGATTCTTGAATAGTTCTACTGAAATGTCTCAAATGATTTTCTACTCTCCTAGGATAAGAAAAGACTTAAAGGAACATTTAAAAAACCTATCCCCCACCCCCCACCCACAATTTGTTAAGAAAAGAAAAACTCGAGATAATTTTGCTGAATGAGATTTTCTTATGAAAAATAGTACAAATTGCTGAAAAAGTTACAAGGGGATATGAGAGGAGTGCAAAAAGACCTCACTTATCTCAGTAGCCACCACTATGCAAAGGCAGTGGCTGATCTGAACCACTGATCAGGAGCTCAGTCCCACCAGACAGAAAGGTTGAGGGCTGGGGGCAGTTTTGTTTGGTTTCACACACAGTGCATTCCTCCTGCTGTCGTATGTCTTGTATAATTGTCTTGGATAGAAAATGCTTGTCGCTTTCTTCTGAATCTGGAACAAGAAAACCAGATATGGATATATTAGCCTGCCAGAAGAGTCATAAACATTGCATCAAGACACAGATACTGGTGGCTGGAACATGTTTTCACAACGATCCTCATTTTAAGGTTTTCTGTGAAAAGGTTAGACAACATCCAAACTGAAGCAAATGGAAGCTTGGGAGTTTTGGATCTTTGTGGGATGTGGTAGAAATCATGTGGCTCTGTACATGGGTGACTATAGTTCCCACAATAGACCTTCAGTAGCTGCCATATAATCCAGTTCAATGTGGATTTTATACTCCGGCGTTGAAGGGGCCTAAGTTTCTATTCAGGATACATCTTATATGGAATTCCCAATGGCAAAAATTGTGGGGAACTGCAATCCAACAACATCTGGAGAACTTCCTAATTCCAATCTCTGCCATCCTGTGATTTTATTATCACCATAAAACATTACAATTCATTTTTGTTCTAGATTACTTCTCTCCTCTCCTTGTTTCTTTATTTTAAAGTGTACATCGGTTGACTGTTTTTCCAGGGCCCCAGCTCACCCTGCGGAGATCCGCTATACCCTGTGGGCACCTCTTCCAGATCTTTGAGCAGTCCTCCTTGAGGGAAGACATCTTTTCGACCATTGGGTTAGTGCTCTATGGGTTTTGCTATCTCTCCAATCTTAATCCATTGAAGAGAGGGAGCTATGCACTCTATCCTATCTCCTGGCAAGGCTGGCACCTCCGAGACCTCTCAGGATGCTCTAGTAGTCACCATAACACCACACCGGAAGTCTCTAAAAGAGGAACTTTAAATGTCAAAGCAAATGTAATTCCCTTGTCGTTCTTAGCTCTCAAACTAGTACAGGTATGTGAAATATTCCAAAATTGTCCACATGCATGACTGAGATAGTGATGTATTTGCTTTTTGATGATTCAATGAATATAAACTTTGTTTCATGCACATTTTTATAGAAATACATTCAGACTATTTCTATGAGGAGCATATGAAGTATAAATGAATTTTGTATTAAGACTTGTGTCCCATCTTCAAGATATTTCATAATGTACACATATGTAAATACAGATATTCCAAAATATAAAACCCCCAAACACCTCTGTTCCAAAGCATTTCTGACACTGGATATACAACCTCTTACTGAGCTCTATTTCTTACCATCGTACACAATGAGTCGGTAGCAGCCAGAACAGTCTTTACTTCTCTGCAGGATTTCTTCCAGTGCTCTGCAGAAAAGTTTGGCTTGCTCGATACGATCTTGCCGGCTAAAGGCAGCATTTTCATCTTGGGACATGGCATAAAGGGATTGCAAAGGAGTGGCATACTCTAGGACACAATACTTAATCTAGAGGAGGGTGAAAAGGAGACAACATTGTCAGATTAACCCAGAGAATGGACTATAAAGCATCCAGAGGATCTAAAAAATCAAATATCTGAAAGATCACAACTTCCTATAAGAAGCTAACCAAGCTATATGATCCCGAGGGAAGGACTTTCTGTTGGCCCCACAACCATCAGAAGAACTTCTATGAAGACACAAGAGAGGGCCTGTATCTGCCCATCCATATTTTTCTAGCTTCCTCTCAACCAGGGATCTCCATGTCTTGAGATCACCTTGAGATCGCTAGTCCTTGCTCCCTTTCTCCAACATCTCCAGAGGGTCCTTTCACACAGTTATATAACCCTGAATATCAAGAAAGATAATCCACAATAACTGCTTTGAACTGGCTTTTCTGAGTCCACACTGCCATATAATCCAGTTCAATGTGGATTTTATACAGCTGTGTGGAAGGGGCCAGAGGCAGTGGCTTGCCTGGTAGGAGCTCCAGAAGAGGGATATCCCAGTCCTCCCAGTTTATTGGTTTTGGTGATCTCTTTTGAGAACAGCATTGAGGATTTGCCCTCACTTTTCTTACTATCCTGGGTCTTTTGAAGAGCAGGTGGAAATTTCTGCTAACCTTTCCCCTACTTGCACAAGTTCACTTGGATATTGAAGATTTTTTTTTATTCCTAAAGTATGTTATAATATTGTTTCTGGAACTGCAGGTCCTAGTTAGGAGAAATGGAGGGAGCACAGACTAACAGATCCTTCAAACATATTAATTCATATTGCACACCCAGAGCACTTCTACATTGCCATATAATCCAGGTTATCAGAGCAGATAATCTACATTATCTGCTTTGAACTAGGGCCCCTTCTACACAGTCATATGTCAGCTCAAGTTTCTGATACAGAACATATGTCATCCAATAGTCGCCATTTGCTCGCCCACAGAAAACCATTTTTAATAAGCCTTGGCACTATAAGAGGATTTGGCGAGACCAGTCACTCTTGTTGAAATGGTGGAGTAACGGTGAGGCCACGGATCATATTTTAGATCTTGCGGACCAGAGGTTGGGAACCTCTGCCTTATAGGGTATATCATTGCTTGTTCTAATGTATTCAGTGGAACTCTTTCCAGAAAAACATAATGTTCCGTCCTAAGGGCCCTTCCACACAGCCATATAACCCAGAATATCAAGGCAGATAATCCACAATATCTGCTTTGAACTGTCTTGTCTGAATCCACACTGTCATAAAATCCAGTTCAATGTGGATTTTATACAGCGTTGTGAAAGGGGCCCTATATTCCAGAATATCAAGGCAGAAAATCGCACATTATCTGCTTTGAACTGGAATATATGTCAGTGTGGACTCAGATAATCCAGATCAAAGCAGATATTGTGGGATTATCTGCCTTGATATTCTGGGATATATGGCTGTATGGAAAGGCCCTACGTTTCTATTCAGGATACATCTTATATGGAATCCTGAGAAATTCAGCTTTCATTTTCACAAAAGGAAATGTTTTAGGAATCTTGATTAAGGTAGAAATGAATTTCAATAAACAGACCAAAGAAAGGGGATGATATGGAAAAACATACCTTTTGGTCTACTCCCTGTACCCCATAAACACTATTTTTAAAGCTTCTTTTTTTAATGCCAGCTCGATCCACTGTCATTTCCGGGAGGTTATTTATGAACTGAATACGGCTGTCAGCTTTGTGCAGGTCATCATACACATCAGAGTTTAGGGGAATCAGGATATGCAGTTTCCAAGTCTTCTCACATTTCAGGAATTCACCGCCAATTGTCTTTAACTGATTAGAGTTGAATTCTCTAATTGAATTTTTAAGATCTTTAAAGAAAAAAAATACACAAAGAAGAGACGACAAGTATGCCTTATCAGCAAAAAACACCATCAGGGTACACATGTATGTGTAATCAGAAGTAAAACAAAGCAAAGCTTGTTCTGGATGAGGTTGCAAACTCTCTCAAAGATCAGGTTATAGTTTTGGGATGCTCTTGGATCCAGCATGGTTTCTGAAAGGCCAGCTCGGTGTGGTGGCCAGGAGTGTCTTTGCCAAGCCTTGGCTGGTGCTCCACCTGTGTGCTTTCCTAGGGAAGGTAAATCTGGCCAAAACCATTTATGCTGTAGTTACATCCTGATTAGATTACTGTCCTGTACCCTGTGGGGCTGCCCTTGAAACATGCTCAGAAGCTGCAATTACCATATATTCCAGGGTATTACATGACTGGGACAATAAGACGACCCCCCCCCCAACTTTAACAAACAAAATAGAGAGTTGGGGATATACTCGCCGTTGAAGACGAGTCCGCATTCCAGACAGGTGGTTTCTGTCCTCAGGCTGCTCTCCTTCTTCCTTCCCCCACTTGGCTGTCATGGCGTCTCTGCCTCTTAGCCCCGCCAAGCCTCGTGAGAAGTGCCTCTTCACCCGCGAGACAATGTTGTCTCATGGAAGAAGAGGCGCGTCTCGCGAGGCCTGGCCAGGAAGAAGAAGAGCGGCCTGACCAGCGCAGGAGGCTCTTCTGCTCAGGCCAAGCCTTGCGAGAAGCACCTCTTCTCTAGTGAGACAATGTTGTCTCACGGGAGAAGAGGCGCTTCTCATGAGGTCTCGCCAGGAAGAAGGAGAGCGGCCTGAGAAGAGCAGCAGCCAGGAAGAGAGGAAGGATGGGGAGCCTGCCCGGGAGGCCGCCATGAGCCAAGGCAGCGGAGGAGGAGAAGGAGACAGAGGAGGAGGGGAGCCCGTGGCCAAGGCCCTCCACACCGAGGCTCTACTGGTGAGAAGGAGGGGGGAGAGAGACCCCCAAGGGCTGCAGCGTGCCAGGGATGGGCTACCCGAGGCATTCTGGGAGCAGTAGTTTGTAATTTTATTATTATTTTAATTTTATACCCGGTGCACTAGACGACCCCCAAAATCCCGAGGCATTCTGGGAGCAGTAGTTTGTAATTTTATTATTATTTTAATTTTATACCCGGTGTACTAGACAACCCCCAACTTGGAAGGCGCTGAACAGACTGCGCTCTGGCACCACAAGATACAAAGCCAACCTTTAAAAATGGGGCCACAAAGTGACATGCGAGTGTGGAAAAGAGCAAACCACAGACACCCAAAACAATATAGTCTGGGCCCTGCCACATGCACAATGGAGGACCTCCTTATAGCAACACCAGAGGCACTCCAAGTGGCCAGCTACTGGTCAAAGGACATATAATACAATTGCCAAGTTTTAAAACTTTGTATTTTTTAAAAAATACATTACAACTGTAGCCTTGGTTTGCTTCTGATATGATAAATAAATAAAATAAATTAATATTTATTTAAACTTAACTTTAGGCATATAAGTCATGAAACAGATATCCACATCACTAATTTTATCCCATACTATGGATAAATATGGAAAATACATCCATTACACTCTGTTGTATTGCTCGGGTATAGCAATACCTGCTAGGTAAACTTTCTGATTATTTAGCTCTGGAAAGTAAAGAGTTTCTGTATATATTTCAGATTTCAATATTAATGTCAAAAATATGTAGTATGATTTTACATAGGATTTGTGCTACATTAGAACAGTAAAGACAAATATCACTTAAGTAAAATAAACATTAAATATTAAATAGGAAATAAAAATAAAATAAGGTGTAAAAAATAAAGTAATCTGGGAATCTGCTATTGCAACACATCCAATGAAGTGATTTAAAACCAGTATAAAAAGAAGATTAGGACTAAGTATGTTCCAGTATGTTTGGAATACAATTGTGCAAACTAGATTACAATATTCATGAAATTAGGGAATCTGGGAGAACGTTAGCACCAAGGTCCACTTTTCTTTGCTATTTGTTTGTTTGTTTGCTGCTTTTTTCCCAAAGTGGGGACCAAGACAGCTGACAAATGATGCTGCAGCATTATTGGGGGATTCTCAATTGCTTTTCCTCCACAGCTGAAATACCACCTGGTACCTCCCTACTGCCATCCTCCCAATTTTATATTATTAGCTAATAAAGGACATTGCTACACAGTAATACTTACGTGGCAAAACTAGCTTCAAATACCCAATGTAGTATGACCAAGCAAGTCCTTGTGCTACATTGCAGTTGCTTTGCTCGTGTATTTGAGAAATCTCTGCAGCCGAGGGCCGCTGAAAATAGAAAGGGGAAAAAAGTCAAATTTCCTCTGGCATATCACTGTTCTCATGCAAGGAAGCCAAGACATTTTGCTACCTAAGGCAAAGGAAGAGAGAGCAACCCCTCCTGCTCCACGCACACAAACTGAACCAGATTGTTGGAGTCTATGTTGCCGTATGGTCCAGTTCAGACAATCTGGATTCAGAAACTGGATTATAGGGCAGTGTAGATGGGACCAGTGAGAGTTGAATAGGCAAGTGGCTGGGTAGCACGTCAACATCTTTTGAGATTGTAGATTAACTGCATTGGACTGGATTATATGTCAGTGTAGATGAGGCCTGAGTGTCCCTTTTTCCTATCAAATACACAGTTACCCTTTGCTTTGAGAAACAAAAACCTGTTTCTTCTCATTTCCTTTCTTCTTCTGGCTTTGGGTTTTGGAAGGCGGGGTCGCCTTGCCCAAATCTCACTCTTGCTGTTTTCCGGTGTAGATAATCTGTGCCGATAATCATCAGGAAGCGCACACACAAACAAGCTTTTCATAAACTCCTTCCAGAAGATGACTGAGTCTCTTTTACTAGAGATGTTTAGACAGCTTTCTTTTGGGAGCTAGACTCAAGGTGCATCCACACTGTGGAATTAAAGCAGTTTGACATCACTTTAATTTCCTTGGCTCAATGATCAGGGACCCTGGGAACTGCAATTTGGTAAGACACCCACACCCATAAATTAGAGAGACCTTGTCAAACTTCAACTCCCAAGGTTCTACACCAATGAGCCAAGGCAATTAAATTGGCCTCAGGCAACTTCTATACTCGCATATAATGCAGATTATCAAAGCAGATAATCCACATTGTCTGTTCTAAATGGGGCCCTTCTACACTGTCATATCAAATCTAGATTATCTGCTTTGATAATCTGGATTATATGGCAGGGTAGAAGCCCCCCCCCCCCCCAATAAAGTAATAGCCATATAACCATAATGGATAATAGTCAGAATTTTCAGGTTGGCTTTGGCAATTGATTATGTGTGTTACAGCATTGGGAAGCTCGCCGTACATCTTTTATATTGATGCTATTGTTGTTGTTGTTGCTGTTGCTGTTGTTGTTATACTGACACAAAAACACAGTATGTCACAGCAAACAAGATATATATGCTGGGTTTTGTATCACAAAATCACAAGTTAAACACTTCTCGAGTGTTTTGATGTATAATAATAATAATAATAATAATAATAATAATAATAATAATAATAAGAAGAAGAAGAAGAAGAAGAAGAAGCAAAGACTCTGGCACAATTCAGTAAAGGTGGTCCCCAGTGGTGATAGACACACTGGATGCAGTGCCTAAAGACCTTGGCCTGCACTTAAACACAATTGGCGCTGACAAAATTACCATCTGCCAGCTGCAAAAGGCCACCTTATTGGGATCTGCATGCATTATTCGCCGATACATCACACAGTCCTAGACACTTGGGAAGTGTCCGACGTGTGATCCAATACAACAGCCAACAGAGTGATCTTGTTTGCTGTGGATTCATCTTGTTGTGTTTCAAATAATGATGATGATGATGATGATAATAATAGTGTTCGACTTGTGATTTTGTGATACGAAATCCAACATATAGATCTCGTTTGCTGTGACATATTGTGTTTTTGTGTCAGTAAAATAATAATAATAATAATAATAATAATAATAATTTATTTTAACTCCCTTCCCCTTTTCCTTTCACTTTTTTCCCATTCTCTTTTTTAATGTATATAACTGCTAAAGCTTCAATAAAATATTAAATAATAATATAATATTATAATAATATTAATATATAATGTATTATTATTATTATTATTATTAGTAGTAGTAGTAGTAGTAGTATTGAGTTGTTCTGCCAGGACTTCACTCTAAAGAGCAAGGCGGGGAGGAGGGTGCAGTAACAGAATTGGCCTGTAGGTGGAGCGACATCCCTTACTGGCTAGGGAGGGAGTGTGCTGGGTCCCGCGCATGCATCGTCGCACCTGCGGGGCAGCCCAGGCTCGGCTTTCCTGTAGGCCTTGCGAGGGAAGGAAATAGCAAAGAAAGAACGAGTCGGGGGGGGGGGGGGGGGAGGAGAAAACCCACTAAATCAACAAGAGCATAGAGAGAGGCCAGAAACGAAGAGAAGTGGGGAGACAAGAGAGGGGCATTCCTCCTTCCTCTTCTTCTACTTCCCTTTCTTCCTCCTCCTGCTCCTCCACTTGGGGCCTCTCTCTCTCTTTCCAAAGTGGGAGCCAAATAAAAGCTGGCAAGCCTTTGATTTTGGATCATTCACAGCCAGGGGCGCCTCAAGAGCGCCCCTTGGGGATTCGCGCTATACACAAATGCGTATCTTGCCTATTGCTTCAGCCGCCCCTGGGGAGCAGGAAATTTGAATGTGCTCTATATAAAAATGCCTGTTTTACACTATAATGTATCTCATCTTGTTTTCGTGGATTACCACAATACTGACATAACTTTCAGCTGATTGAATAAAGTACCTCAGTGGCTTCATCTTCAACTTGGTGAAATTTATTCTGAAGCACTGGCTTCCTCGCTCGCCAAGGGCATGGACTCTCTGACTGGCTGAGCGTCGGTGCCGATTGCCACTTAACGGACTAGGTATCTGCGCCTTTGGTTCCAGTATTTACGGCCTGGATCTCACTGTCCCTGGCCACCCTAAATTGCTCCAATTCATTGTTGCCACATGGTTTCAAGGCAACAGTGTAGTAATGGTGAGGATATAAAAATTTTCGAGGCAACAGTAGTAATGGAGCATATTTTTGTTCTTGTGGACCGCTGATGATCCATGGACCACAGGTTGGGAACCACTGCTTTATACCATGGTATCATGTCTGGAAAACTATGGTAGCGGTGATAAGGGGCAACTGCCCTCCTAAGCTAGAGCTGGTGCTTTCCACTCTCTCTTCCCAACCTATCCACAAATCATATAAAAATCCATAATCCCAAATCCATACTCGACTTACACATGAGGTTGACTTATACATGAGTACATATAGCATGTCTTGTTAAAGTATTTTAACAGTACTTTCCATAAAGCTTAAACCTAAGCAGAAGGTTAGTAGTAGTCAAAACATTGTGTAATTTGCTGGCTACTTTACCCGAAAGCCAAAGATGATGGTCAAAAGCTGGCAAAGGCACATAAGGCTCAGGTTCAAACATGGTGGCAGCTGACTTTCCTTGAGAAGCCACAGATAGACAGCCCCACACAACAGCAGAAAGAGGAGAGCATGCCGTTGCAAGTCCAGACATGCACTGAGGGCCCTGAAATAGTTTCCATTATATCTATAGGAAAGAGAGAGTGGTGTCATGATAGAAGAAAATACTGAGTACCCTACCATCACACCATTGTGCTCAGCAGAGATTAGATCATCCACTTTGTCTACCATGACCAGATGCCAAACTCCTGGCTCTAAACACCTGTGTGCTTACTCACCATATCTGTGTCTGAACAAGCTACCACAATATGGCAAACAGTTTTGTTGCTGAGTTGTTGTGAGCTTTTTGGGCTGTATGGCCATGTACCAGCAGCATTATCTCCTGATGTTTCACCTGCACCTGTGGCTGGCATCACCATCCTCTGAAGATGCCAGTCACAGATGCAGGTGAAACGTCAGGAGAGAATGCTATTGGTACATGGCCATACAGCCCAAAAAAACTCACAGTAACTTAGTGATTCTGGCCATGAAAGTCTTTGACAGTTTTGTAGCTGCAAACCTTCAAACCATTCGGACTTAAAGTGGCCCTATTGTGGTTTTTTTTTTTTGGCAGAATTGGTTCAGAGAGGGATTGCTTGGTTCAGGATTGGTTCAGAGAGAGTCACACTTCCTCTGATAAAATGCGACTTGCTAAGCATCAGTGGATTTTTATGGCCAAGCAGAAATTTGAACCCTGGACTCTTGACATCCTAGTCAAATCACTATGCCAGATTCCGACAGTGTTCTGGTAATTCCAAGATATTTTATGCTTTCCTTCCTTCTTCCCTGAGTCTTTTTGTTTCTACCAGTAGACTGTAAAAGGGAAGGAAAAGGTCCATCTCTCCCCGTTGTTTTGCAAAACGGTTCTGTATGTGGGGAGGAGACGATATAAAGTGATTAGGGGGAAATAAATTGGCAGATGTCTCCGTTTAGTGTGCTGTGATCTCACTTGCACAATAATTAATAATGAAAAGTAAACTACAATTTAAAAAAAGATTGGGTAAAAAAAGATTGGGAATCAGGAAGTGAAACTAATGTAGCTGATCAACTTGACCTCAGTTGCTGGGCTGAATTAATTCTAAATCCCTGGGCTATGATACTACTAATCAGCCAGCCTTATATATAGCAAAACACAATCTGTGGTCATCCATCAGTATTATTCCTTGCCTTCTGACAGCCTGGTTACCTGGATGTCACATGCTGCATCTCTTCTGTGAAGTTGCAGATACCCTGCAAAAGTGTTCCAACTTGCAACGTTGTGAAATGAATGATAAGACACTGGAGAACAAGGTCAAGATTTTGTCCAGTGAGGTACAGGATGAAGGCACACAGAAGAAGCAAGAAGCAGCTCATCAGCTGAGCATTATTTTTCCGAGGCTTTGGGATAATAGACTGCCTGTTTTCATTTAACTGATTCTTCTTGTAAGACATCTGCAACAGATAAACAAAATCAAAAGATTTAAATGCACAGTGATACCTTAAGAGTTTACTTTGTTCCATGATAGCACTCTTAATTTACAACACTCTTATCTCAAACACTCTTATCGCAAATTTCCCATTGAAATGCTATTAAATTATTCCTCCTTACATCCCCCTTTTTTGTTGAAATGCTATTAAATTTCCCATTGAGATGCTATTAAATTATTCCTGCGCCCTTACTCCCCTCTTTTTTTGAAATGCTATTAAATTATTAATTTTTAAAGAAGAAAATGTATTTTATAAATAACAAATAATGTATAAAAGCACATTTTCTTGGAACAACAAAAAAGATTGATTTTTAAATGGTAGAAGCACAACGTTGTGTCAAGGAAGCACATTTGAGGCAACAAATGATGTGTTGGCCAGTGTAACAGCAAGGCAAAGCCTGCACAGTCACATGGAACAGTAAAAAAGAAAGATCAACTTTAAAATGGTAGAAGCACAAAGTTGTGGCAAGAAGCACAAAGTGAAGAGGCAGAGATATAAATTTCTTAATACCGTACACATTGTAGCTTCCCTCCCCCTCTCGCTCTCTCCCCTCTTCATGAAGCCAAACATACCAGGAATAAAAACCACACAAAATCAACTAACCCAAAATTCCTCAAAGTGGGGAAGAGCAATCCCCCAAAGTGAAGAAGAGTACGAAGCATGAAGACACAAGGTACAAAAGCTGCTCCCTTGAAGCCCTAAAGCCCTGCACTATTGTGTTAGTGTTCCTTCTGGTGCTAGTGCTCCCTCTGCCCCTAGTTCTTAACTCAAAATTCTGCTCTTATGTCAAAGTGAGAGTCTTAACTCAAAGTGCTCTTGAATTGGAATGCTCTTAAGTAGAGGTTTATTTATTTATTTATTTTGGGCACACCAGGGGGGGACTCAGGGTGGCTTACAACCAGCACAATTTGATGCCAACAATTCAACAGATAAAATACATAACAGCAATGGCCACAATAGTTAAAAACAATCAATTAATACAATAACAACTAAAAAGCCAATCTAGTGGCCAAACGTTCACCGAGTTCTAAAATCCGTAAGTCTATTCAGCATTACAGGTTCCACTGTATATTCCTGCCCAGAAGGTGCATTTCCCTACAATTTAGTATATATCAGAATAACATTCCCTACAATTTCAGGAGATATCAGAATAACATTTTCCCAGAGGAATATTTGGACTTTATAGTGGGTTCCTTGGCTCGTTGTGAACTCTGCACTACTACCATGTACTGGGGGAGGGTGAGTGAGGAGGTTTTAGGTTACTTTCCTTTAAAAAAAGGCATAGCCACCAGCTCTGTGCTGCATCTCACATTCAAAACCTATAGTGAACAGAAGCACTGAAAGGATCTGCATGGTCATAGGCCAAATTACTGACAATATCAGCACACTTTCTCTCACTTTCTTTAGTGGTTAACTAGGACCGTGGTTAAACACAATCCATGCCTGGCAAGCATATGCTAAACCAGATAGATCATGACAGAGAAACCAACTCACCAGGTTGAAGACAGGTCACAAAGGTTTACAACAGTTTGGTAAAAAAGATGCAAGTATAGCAATTTGCTTCAAAGGTACAAGCATAAGCATACAGAGAAATACAAGACATCTTATACAGTTCTGACAGCTATTCAGACTTCCCGTTCCCTCCCCAACTGGTCAGAAAAGAGGCTGGCTAGGATCCATGCTAGCATTAGCTGGGAGAATGGCAGCCAGAGATTGGTCAGAGCAAAGAATCAATCAGCTACTGGGACACCCCCCCCCCCCCACCCAGGAGGGCCCAGTTTTAGGAAAACAAATGGTAAATATATGTTGATGGGCTTTGCCAAACAAAGATAGGAGCTTCAGAACACAAAGGCGTTCCTGGAACAAACAGTGATGATCTTGAGCTTGGCTGTCAATAAAGAGGGTTAACAAATGCACTTTAAGTTTCTGTTTCTGTGGGCAGCAATCTCTCAGCTTCAAGTGAACCATATAATGAAACAAACAGGTTTGGGTTTATCTGTGCTGACAGGGAAACCACATATCTTTGATATACATGAGAATGGCTTATGATGATTGCCTGTCTGGGGAACAGCCAAAGGGTTTGGCCAACCTTCTCGTTTTCAGGAAATTCTTCATCAGGGTTAGGAAGAGGTGACTGCCTCTGGGCTCATCTGGTTACATTTTGGTAAAGAAGTTTATGCATATTATAGATAAGAAAAATACACAGTATACAGAAAGATATAAGTCATGAAGTCATGAAGAATAGATGCTATTTATTAAACCGTTAGATATGATTGAGTTTAGGGTATGCAGCTGCTGGTGGTCTGGTCTCGATCTTCTGATGTTTTGAACTTGTGCAAGTCCAGAAAGGGTCTTTTAAAAAAGGAAAAATCATATATTTCTTTCTGAGCCTTTGGTGAACTATACAATCTTTGGGGGGGGGGGGTGGTACTGTGGCTCAATTACATTCTCACCACTGCTACACTTTACAGGGCCCTTCAAAAAGTTGGAGATCTCTGAGTGGAGATGGAGGTGCTACTAAAAGGCACCAACCAGATCAGGCAAGGAGCCTTACTACAGCATCAGGTCTCACTTCTTTGCACTTCTTTCCTGCTCAACCCACCAGTATTCAAATTTGGGCGTATTGGGGATTTTTGCCAAATTTGGCCCAGTGAATGAAAATACATCCTGCATATCAGATATTTACATAACCATAACAGTAGCAAAATTACAGCTATAAAGTAGTAACGAAAATAATTTTATGTTTGTGGGTCACCACAACATAAGGAACTGTGTTAAGGGGTCATAGCATTAAGAAGGTTGAGAAATACTGCTCTAGCAAATTATTTTCACAGAACAGTATCGTTTTTGTTTCTGTTTGCAATAGTATTTTCTCCTGTGAAAGTGCACACTTGTATGAAATTTTTTAACACATTCAAAGTGCATATATGTAGGCAGGGCACCACTTATAACTTGCCTGATCCTAACCAGGATCTCACACTAATTTCTCATCAACCACAATTTTTGTTTGTTTGTTTGTTTGTTTTTAGAAATGTTCAGTTAGGTGCACTGATATTTGTTTTCATCCACTAAATTATTAATGGTCTTAATCTTTTATTTTTACAGTGTTGAAGTAGCTGTTCCTTCCTAGAAGGAAAAAAGCATATCCAAATACATATTTAAAGAAAGGCATAGGGGGAAAACATACGTTAAACATTGATGTCAAATAGAAGTCTTGGTTTCATAGAGGATTGCAGCTTGGATTACAGCACCAAAGCAAGAAATTAGTATTACAATTGTGTAAATACCAAACAATTTCTCTTCTGCACCCCAATAATGAGAAATGAGCAAAATAATGATATAGTTTTACAGACAACTCTTTGTAGACTTTTTTGCAATAGAAATTAAGGTTCCATTATCCGTATGGAGGACAAAAGGGGGTGATAGACAGAGAATGAAAGTCCATTTTACAGGGGGAGGAGGAGGGGGGTGAGTGAGTAAAACCATTTCCCCATTTTCCTGTTATTCCCCCCACCCATGTCTCCATCGTGGAAACAACCCTTGTTTATGATATGGGAAAAGGGGAAGGAGGAATAACCCGCGAAAACTGGGGAAATGGTTTTCCTCCTTCAACTCCTGCCCCCTAAAATGGACTATTCTTCTCTGTCTAGTGCCCCCTTTTGGCCTCTGCTTGGATAAGGAAACAGTACCAAAATGAATCCAAAAGGTGATTCTATTACATGATTTTATTACAGACAGCTATAGTATGTATATATATCTTGTAAGCCGCTCTGAGTCTCCTTCGGGGTGAGATGGGCAGCATAAAAATGTCATAAATAAATAAATAAACAAACAGGTGGTAACTTCTTTATAGAACACATTTTTCCTAGAAAACTTCTGTAACTATTGCTACCACCTGAATGTCCAGAGGAATTCTTTGGGGCTTACATTTCAGAAAGCAAGCATAGGATGTTACTATAGTTATGTTTATGTTATATTCTCCAAACCCTTTCAATCTTGATCTTATTCCACTTTGTGTTGCATTGGTTCGAGTAACCATTTACTTCTAGCCTTGACTCACAACGTTTTTCTAATCTACATAATGTCTTTCCCTCTGCTATGGTTGTGTGAGGGTTCTGATTTTTTCATGCTACTCACTCTGCCCGTAATGTTCCTCTCATTGTGCAACACATTTACCTTACAAATAGCTTGGAAATTACAAACTCAGGTATATCCATCAACTAATAACTCACATCAGCCTGCTAATTTATATGTTATGATAATTTATAGTTTCTTTGTCTGTGGATCTCTTTGAAAAGGAGGACATGGTCATAGTATGGTAGCTGGGTCAGGAAGATCAGAGCATTACGGAGATGCCGTATCGCTCCTTCAGGAGCGCTGTTTGTGCGACACAGAATGGAACACATGACCAAAACGGGTCCGGAGTGAGAGACGTAACTAATGTAAGCCAGGCCAGAGACAGATAATATAGAAGGAATGTAAGAGTTCTTTAATGGTGAAACCCTAACCCTTACCCTAAACGGTACCATAAGCCTATGCCTAACCCCTTACCCAAACCCTTACGCTAACCCAAACCCTTACCCTAAACCTTGCCCTATCCTTACCCCTCCTTTCTATCCTTCCTTCGCTCTCCTCACTCTCACTCTGCCCCCTCTCTTGACCATGCCATCTCTTTCCTTATTCACAATCGCCTCTGCGGCATCTCCATAACGCTCGGAGCTTCTGAATCCGGCTATCATACTATTACCGAGGACATCTCCAACCAACTAGCAATTTCTATCCCAGTTCTTCCTCCTTGCCCCAGCCTCTCAAAGTAGCTTCTGCTAAAATACTGAGGGATAGTCATCTTGGCTGTACATCAAAATAAGGCAAAGTCCACAAAGATCAATACCTTTATTGGCCAATCAACATTCCCCAAATACTTCATGCGAGTTTTTGAAACTTTTTCCCCAGGCAAAAGATGTTAAAAAATCATATAGGGGAAAAAGAAAAGTAGGAGTCACAGCTCTACATTTTGCATCAGATCTTGTTTCTATTGTTTAGCCAGCCCTGAGTAATATCTGGTTTGCTCAGTTTCACTTCTGAAGGAAATGCTGAGCCCAAAATGAACGAATCCTTAAAAATGATAATGGATGACCATTCTATCTCTATTTAAAAAGTGACAACATGATCCAACACTCACCTCAATCTGTTGACTGCAATGTGTTAAAGAATTCCTGTTTCTTGGAATTTTAATCTGTTTTCTTTCCTCTAGACTGAGCACAGCCTGCTAAAGAAAACTGAAATGTCTGGTTGTCTTTGAAACATAAACACAGCTCTGATTTGCCAGCTGAAAAGTGCAAGATTGAACAAAAAGATGGGTTGGGCTTATTTTAATACATAGTCTTGCAAGGCTTTGGATGTGATAACGAAAGTAAAACCAACACATTTCCTGTTCTATTTCCAGAAGACTCATCTATAAAAAATATGCCACACTTATATATTCTTGAACTTAATTATTGTGCAGATCTTCACATGTCTATCAGCAACCTGAGCATCTGTGTCACTCAGTTCCAAGGGTTGAGTGAGCTCATGCTTTTATGATTCCTCCCTGGATTGGGATCAGTTCTAGCTTGCGAATGCACAAGACTTGACATCTTCACGGGTAACCAAGTGCAACTAGGATAATTTATTCACATTTAGCTCACTCCAGTCCATGAGTCTTCTAATTGCTGTCAAGGAAGATGTTTGCACTATATCTCCCTTGATGGTGATTGAAAGAACCAACCCCTTTCCCAGTAGGGATACAATGAAAAACAGAAAACACAGGCAATCACCTCTTACCTCCACCTCTGGCTTGTCTGTCTCTTAGGACTTCTAATGGTCCTTTTCTTTCGTGCCTTCATCATCCTTCCATCAGCTTTGTCTTCCCATCTCTTCTTCTGTTGCATAGCCCAGAAAATTATGACTCTGATCTGTTACAAGCTCTTTGGGAAACCTACTCTTAAAAATTGTAATTATTCTTGTACTAGCCGAGTGGCATTTGTTGCTTTTAGATGAACTACGTCTGGATACGGAGGGGCAGAATCCACTCCAAACAAAACATATGAATATCTCATTGTAGTTGTCTTTAGAGGGTTGATGATATACTTGAAAGGATCAGTCATGGGGGCATTGGGATTAAGGGGCACCAGGGATGTCCCTGGGGTAGCGTTTCCTTGGGAACATGAGGCACAATATTGCCATACTTGTCCATGTATGTCTGACCAAAACCCTGTTGTCTTATGCATTCTAAAATTTTGTCTACCACTAGGTAACCAGAGCTGAAATATCATGGACAAGACATACTTCCAGATACAAGGGCATGGATAAGGAACTATGATTTCTCCTTTCCTGAGAGAGACTGGAGGCTAACTCTACACATTAAACCTTTTATCCTCTCAAAATGGCTCTATTACTGTGTTCTTCCATATCTTTTGCAATGTACAGTGTTCCCTCACTTATCACGGGTGTTATGTTCCAGGACCACCCACGAAAAGTGAAAATAGGGACGCTATATTTATTTTAATATTTATACATTATTTGAGTAGTTATACACTATTTTAAGTCTTTATAAACCCTTCCTACACACTTATACACTATATAACCCCCCTTGAATGTGTTGTTCACGTAATCCTAGGCTTCGGCTTTATCCGCAGAGGCAGCCTCTCTATACAGACAAATGCTCTTAAGTCCATAGCGCTTCTGTAATTTATCAAACCAGCCCTTGCTGGTAGTGAATTTGCTTGATTTGGTGGGAGAACCAGTCGATGTCGATGGTCGTGCTTAATCATCGTTGTTTATTGAAAAAACGCAAAACAGCGAATCCGCGAAAAGCGAACCGTGAAGTAGCGAGGGATTGTTGTATATGATAGGCTATCCTCCTGCTACAAGACCACCTGTGATCTGATGATATGTTGTAATTCAGCAGGGGACCAATTTTTGTTTTTCTCATCCAACACTAATTCATATGTCAATAATGACTTTAAATGGAAGCAACCCCTTCCTACCAGTGCTTTCTGACAGGAGACTGTTATCGCTACCTATAAATTCTTTGTCTTCTATGCTAATATGAATTTAGGTAGTTCCATGCGGCTTGATGTCCTATGAATACACTGAACTAGTACCATATGTCAAGTAGGTTCATTACTAGGGTTTACTGGGGTCATTACTTTCTTACTATTCACCTTAATGGGTAATACCCACCCCTCTTACCATAGCTGCTCCCCACACATTGGACCAAAAGCATTGCATAACAGGGCAGCCCTTCCACACATGTTCTTCAAGGCCATGGATAAAACAGATCAAAACTTTTGTGATGTTGCTTTGGTCCTGGTGTTTCATTTCTGCTTGCTGTGTTGGGTGCCTGGGTTTTGGCACCTTTGTTGTTTGTGCAGAGTGGACCATGAACATTTTAATTCCTTTGATCGATTTACATTGTGTCTGAATGTATTCCACCATTTGTTCTAAAGTTACTCTCATAAACATGTGTTTAAGACTACAGCTAATCATGTCTTCAGTTTACTACAAGAGCCAGTGTGGTATAACACTGTGAATGCTGGATCAGGAGTCTGGACACTCAGCCATGGGAATCTACTGGATTGCTGTTGGACAAGTTACATGAGCTCAGATTCAGACGAAGATGATGGCAAACCTTAGAAGAAATATTGTCAGGGAAAGCATTTGGTTTGATCACCTTAAACTGGAAACAACTTGAAAACACATAACAACAACCTTCGTTTGCCATTCCTTTTCATACAAACTCTGCAAGCAATCATAGTAATAGTATGCATGGCAATTTCTACATGCGCATGGGTTCTTTTGTGTACATAGAAACACAACGGCTTATGAAATGAAAACAAAAAGGTGTTTCAAAAAAGCTCGCAAGGGTTCATTACACAAATGGGCAGAAATTACGTGTGTGCCAGCTGCGCCCATACCTTGGGAAGCCTGACTTGGCCACAGTAGTCCACGCTCTGGTTACATCCCGCATAGACTACTGCAACTCGCTCTACATGGGGTTGCCTTCAAAGATGGTCGGAAGCTTCAACTAGTCCAATGTATGGCAGCCAGGTTGCTAACAGGAGCTGCCGGTTTGCTACCGGGCCCAATTCAAAGTGCTGGCTTTGGCCTTTAAAGCCCTAAATGGTTCTGGCCCAACTTACCTGTCCGAACGCATCTCCTCCTACAAAGCACCGAGGACCCTGAGATCATCTAGGGAGGTCCTGCTCTCGGTCCTGCCTTCGACGCAAGTACGTCTGGCGGAGACGAGAGACAGGGCCTTCTCAGTGGTGGCCCCTCGGTTATGGAACACCCTCCCTAGGGAGATCAGATCGGCTCCCTCCCTACTAACGTTTCGGAGACAAGTTAAAACGTGGTTGTTTAAGCAAGCGTTCACAAATGCAGAGTAAACAACATAGGAAATTGAATGACTTGACGATGGAACTGGACAATGCTTGATAATAAGAAGACGCTAATGCTGTTGTTATTATTACTGTCGTTTTTACTGTTTTAATGTTTTAACTTGTTTTATGATATTATGTGTACTGTTTTGTTGGAAACTGTCTTGAGTTGCCAATTGGCTGAAAAAGGCGATATACAAATACAGCAAATAAATAAATAAATAAATAAATAAATAAATAAATAAATAAATAAATAAATAAATTACAGAATGTTGTTGCTAGTTGAGCTTAGACAGATAATTGAGCCTAGACAGATAACACACAGAATAGAGATTGGCAATTTGTGGCCCTTGAAATGATTTTGAACTGCAATTCTCATTGAAACAAGTGTTTTAGTTACATAGTTACAGCTGAAAGAGATATGGGTTTTTTGAGGTTTCATGACTCATCTTCCTCATTTCAGGGAAAATTTGCTTATTCAGTGACTTGAAGTAAGGAAGATTTTTAGTTTGTATTTTCCTCGAAATGCTTCTTGCAGTACTCATCTTCCATCACATGTTCTTCCCCTTTTTTTCTCACTTAACTTGGGCTGTTCTCCATTAGGATTTGAAAAGGGTCTTCTCAGAAATGATGCTTTAATACCCTTTTTTGGGAGCCCAATGCTAACACTGGATTATTTCGAGCACCAATTAAAAACATGGCTTTTTGGAGGAGGAGGAGGAGGAGGAGGAGGAGGAGGAGGGAAAGGAAGAGGAGAATAATCAAATTATTTTATGTAATTCATGCATGTATATTAGTTTTCTTCTGCCAACCTAGCAGTTCGAACACATGCAAAAGTGAGTAGATCAATAGGTACCGCTCTGGTGGGAAGGTAACGATGCTCCATGCAGCCAAGCCGGCCACACGACGTTGGAGGTGTCTACGGACAACACCGGCTCTTCGGCTTAGAAATAGAGATGAGCACCAACCCCAAGTCGGACACAACTAGACTTAATATCAGGGGGAAACCTTTATCTTTACTATATTACTTTTACTTGTGTAAGTTAATGAGTTATAGACTGTAGTACATTCTTTACTGTTTTGATTTTGAAATTGTTTTAAATTGGTTTTATTGTTTTGTTTTTTAAAAAATCTCTTACTCTTTTCTATTTAAATCCAAGGAAACTCAATGGATCCTGGACCAGTGCCTGGCAGCTGTGATGGACGGATGAGAGCTAACAAGCTGAAGCTAAATCCCGACAAGACAGAGGTCCTCCTGGTTAGTTGTGAGGCAGATAAGGCTATAAGGTGGCACCCTGTGCTTGACGGGGTTACACTCCCCCAGGGCACAGGTCCACAGTTTGGACTCAGCGTTAACCCTGGAGGCCCAGGTGTCGATGGTAGCCGGGAGGGCTTTTGCACAACTAAAACTTGTGCGCCAACTGTGCTCGTGCCTCGAAAAACCGGATCTGGCCATGGTGATCCATGCTTTAGTTACATCTGTACTGCAATGCACTCTACATGGGGCTGCCTTTGAAGACGGCCCGGAAATTGCAACTAGTACAAAGAAAGGCAGCCAGATTACTGTCCGGGACCAGCTATAGGGAATACACCACGCCCCTATTAAAGCAGCCCCACTGGCTGCATATAAGTTTCTGGTACCAATTCAAAGTGCAGGTTATTACCTACAAAGTCTCACACCAGTGGTTCTCAACCTGTGGGTCCCCAGGTGTTTTGGCCTACAATTTGCCAGCTGTTGGGATTTCTGGGAGTTGAGGGCCAAAACATCTGGGGACCCACAGGTTGAGAACCATTGCCCTACATGGTTCAGGTCCAGCCTATCTACATGGTCACATTCCCCCCCTATGAACCTGTGCGGACTCCTATGAATCTGCTGGGGAGGTCTTCCTCTCGGTACCACCAGTCCCAAGCACGAGTGGTAGGGATGAGGGAGATGGCCTTCTCAGTTGTGGCCCCCAGTTTTGGAA